TAACTTCTATCCTAAGGTTTGAAATGCAAAACCTTAACTGCAGTTCATATCAAGGATGCTGTTCACAACAAAGTTATATAGGAGAATTGACTTCAAGCTTTATTTTTCCCAGATATTTGTATTCCATTCATCTGATGTCTGGGTATTTTGTTAATGCGAAGACAATATTTCTATATCTCTTTATGTGTTACACAGACAGAATATTTTGCAGACTGACTCTAATGTCAGAAAGAACAAGCAAACTGTAAATTCAACATACATCGAAATATGTGTAATTTATATAATAACTTATCAATGCCTGTACAATTGGTGTGTTCCTGCATCAACAGGAATAAATATATATTATCACTTAACCCGTTATTGTCACATGGGATAGACGCTTGACTTTTGAATGAGACCTGAGAAAGTAATTGATGGCATAATTCAGTGTAAGCGAAATATTACTACAATTGCCACGGCTCAATGCACTCAATTATTTGTCTCATGTAGACTTTATTTCGCGGTATAATCATATGTATAAACATCACGCCTTAAGTGAAATAATAGTATTGCACTACTCTTGAATGCAATTAATTTTATACGAAACCGAACTCCACCGCAGTGCCTAAGTTCCATCCTTATTTTTCAAATGCAGAGGTTAGTTGTTTTGGTCATTTACCTGTGGCTAGGAGACGTAATCGCGTAACTCTAGGCAGATGTTTAGGCCTGACTAAAGTGCTAATAATTCGCCACTTATATCGATCAATAGTGTTCGTACAGAATTACGCTTACGTTTAGTAACGAGTTCATATCCTAGAGAGTGCCGGTCTAGCATGCCGTAATCCCACCGCATGCAGAACAAATGGAACACAAGAATATTTGATAGAGAATTTTATTCCACTGCAACTCAAAGAAGTTTATTTACATGTATAGGCTGAGCACAGTCCAACATGGAAGTCTTCCTTTGGAAACTATCTCGCATTATTTGACGGAAACTGCCTAATGTCAAAATTGCGTCACGTCTAAATTCTTCTGCAATTCAAGTACACAGAACTGTACACCCACATCCAAAGTTATCCAGTATCGCAAGCTGGAACAAAGAATATCTGCATGGTTATAAGTGAATGGGTGAACTTGCCTTCACTTGTTGATGTATGTAGAATCAATTCCTACAGCTGATTATGCAAATGTCTGTCCGTCTGTTTTAGACATAGAACTTCGCACCGATGTGCACCAGTTCAAGTCGCCACACTCCATGTAGCACACAAAGCAAGAGAAGAAAGTAGAAGAAATGCATGACAGAGACAGTAGGCAGGGACATGAGACAGAGGAATAGTAATAACGAAGAATATAGTTTTCTTGGAAATTATACGCCGCAAGGAGTGGATGCATCTGCGCCAGTGAGAACGATTTTGACCCATATCACCGAATGTCTCCAGCCATTGGTTTTTACCATTTTGAGGACCCCAACCAACCAAGAAGTCCACACCTCCCTACGTGGCTTACTGGGTTAAATTAACTGTTGTGGATTTCTTTGACTAACGAGGCCATGTTTTGGTTTGACTACCACTAATTCTGATCCCATGTCAGTTAGCATTGCTCGGTGTCAAGGAAGGCGCTGGCTAGATATGCATAACACATATCCTAACCAACTCTCTCAATCGATGTAACTTCACACCCTCGTCGATTGATTTCACCTCCTTACCTTGTACTCGACGCCTAACCTCAACATTGCTCTCTCTATCATACCAATTGCACGGGAGATAGAACGCAGGCCCCTATGGTCAAAGACGGCTAACCTTTCCATTTCCTCCACTCTCAATGGCCAGGTCTCACAGCTGGCCATAAAGGAGGACGGAGCGAACTGCTAAGCAGTACACACGCCCTATGATCGATAGCCGAATATCACGTCTTCTAAGCCAAAAACAGCTTAAGGTGGCAAATTCCAAAACTAGCCTTCTGTATCCTTGCTGAGATTTTATCAGAGATCAACCCGTTGGGGCTGATGCAACTTCTCTTATAAGTGAAGTGGTCAACACGCTCTACCACTTCACTCCCTACTTCTAATCTAGGAGTCAGTTTAGTCCAGTCCTGTAACATCATCTTACATTTGACAACAGGAGCAAATCGCATGCCAAACATTCGAAGATTGCTGCTCAGCTCAAGGTGTTCAGAAGACTCTGCTCTACTTTATCAGCGTCTTCACCTAGAAGGACTATATCATCCGCATGCATATTCTAAGTCAACGTGATTATTCCCTGCTAACGAGTCAATCCTTGAGCTGCTGAATTCAGTTAGGGTCAAGTCCATTAGTACATCTTTGATGATATCTAAACAGAAATGGGGACAGTGGGCATCCCTGACGGAAAACACTGGTTGTCATCATATTTATCAGATGACAACTCTCCGTAGGCTCTCACCTCGCTGATTGCATGAGTTCCAGCAGAGTGCCTTGATCAGTGCAATGTATTTTCTCGGCATTCCTTTCACAGCCAAACATCGCCATAGCACCTCTTGGGAGAGGGAATCCAAAGCCGCTTTCAGGTCAAGAAATATGACGATTGTTGGACGCCAGTAAGTATTCCTATGTCCCAGAATCTGTCGACGGGTGAAGATATGATCAGTACACCCTCTTCCTGGTCTAAAGCCTGCCTGCTTCTCTCGTGTTTGTTCCTCCCGAACACCGCTTAGTCTACGCATGATTATTGAACCTAGAACTTTAGATATCATATTGGTCAAGCTAATCCCCCTGTGGTCATCATCACAGGAAGACTTGTCTCCCTTCTTGTATGTCGGGATAACCGATGACTTACACCAGACCGACGCAACTGTCTGTGATTCCCAGACGTTGCCTAATACCTTAGTTGACGCAGACAGTAGACTGTCCCCACCGTCCTTAAACACCTCTGGAGTCATTCCACCAGGCCCCGCTGCTTTGCCTCGTGTCAGACTAGCGACAGCTTTCGTAACCTCATTTAGGGACGGAGGACCTGTGTTTATATCCCATTCAGGGAGGTGATGGATGCTGGGTAAGTTGAGTGTGGTTGTAGGCCAATTGAATTGCTCCTCAAAGTGTTCTTTCCATCGTTCCAGTCGTCTATCCTGGGAGCTAATTGTCGTGCCATTTTTCTCAGAGATTGTTTCACTTATCATTTGTCTTTTGTCACCTGTTTCCCTATTAGGACTAAATAGTTGTCTGGTGTTACCTGTCGCCGATGCCTTCTCTATCTCTTTCGCTTTTGTCGCCAACCACTGTTCATGGTCGTTATGAAGGCTTCTTGTTATTTTGCGTTTGAGTAGCTTTCGCTCTTCATCATAATCGGAGCTCACCGAAATCAGTCTTCGTTATGGATAAGATTTTATTTTGATAAATCACACAGTGTTGTACAGTAATATTAACTGATGACGTTTCGAGCACAAATTATTGCTCATAATCATATCAAGTTACTCACACAACTTTTTCCTTCATTGATATATATGTATGGAATTGACTAGATAGTCTTCTTGAGTCATTCAGTTCGGATGATGTGATAGGAATCCAATGGCTCTTACTAACTTTTGGTTTTAGGTTATTAACAGCTTTTAAAGCTGTGTATACAGATAGCTGAATGTTGCACCAGGCTACCCTAGGAGAAGTCCTGCTGATGACCTCAAATACACGTTTCACTATTTCTTCCTTAAATAGGGACTGATTGTCTCGATTTAGTTTGGGACGGAACTGTTTCGCTGCCAGCAATTTCTTGTGTCCGTTTAGTCGTATGCATAAACGTGCGCGGACCAGAGCGTGACCGTAGTCTTAGCACGTCTTCCAAAAGGAGCGGCAGTCTTCTACTGACCCTCGCCAACGATATCCTATCGCTATTTGGTCTATCTGAGTCCAGTGCTGATTTGGTGATGGAGGTCGCCAGGTTAGGCAGTGCTTCTCTTTGTGCCTAAAGTTAATGCTGAGTTAGAACAGATGATTATCCTAACGGAACTGTAGAAGACGATCACCGTTGTCAGTTTGCCGGCAGGAAGCTCCATAAGTACCAGCTGCATACTTCTCAGTCTTGCACAACATCCGTACTTGCGCACTGAAGTCGCCTGCTATGGTTGGTTTACACCTTGGGATAGATTCAGAGTTGATGTCATTTATTTGAATTTGTTTTATCATCCACATCTTCCCGGTAAGTAGTCGTCGATCCTTTTACTGAGAACTATATTAATTCAACCGAGGGCTCTTAGGGAAGACTGCACATGAGGATAAGAGAGATAAACGATTCACAAAAACAGCTCATCTTCAGTCACCTCGGTGAATACATGTAGAGAAACTAGTCTAACTTAGCGACTAGTATTCCTCATTATAACTGGAACGTACTTTAAGACATGTCAGTGAAAGATGACCTGTTTAATGTGTTTTCATGCATTTTCTTGTAAATATACGTCATTTTTTGTACAAAAGTCACTTATTTTTATGATTGGTCGGCTTAAGGTCAATCTCGCATTTGCATCATTTAGGACGCTATTGTTGAACTTTGCCCAATTCCTTATCTTAGCCACACTGAATATGTGAACAAGGGAGGGAACAATCACAGAGTTGGTGAAATTCTATAGATTAGTCATCCGTGCATTCCACGATAGATTTGAAGAATGGTGGAACTTCCGAATCACCTGTCACACTTCTTCTTCTGTAAAAAGCAAATATTATACACGTGACTCTCATCCATCCATTACAACCAACTGAAAGAGATCAAATCTTCAAACTTTATAGTTCTTTGATTAAGTTACCCAGTAATATTCTTTTTGTAAGTAGATCCAATGCTTATCACATCTGTGAAATTTATACACATGTTAACTTGTTCCCTTAAGCTAGAAAATATAATGTCTATCCGATCTTATTATTGCTATTTCAAAGCCCGCCTCAGTAACGTACAACGCAACGTTTATGCAAAGGAAAATCTACCAATCACAGCGTGCGTTAGTGACCTACAAGTGCTCAGCCTCTCCGTAGGCCATTTGTGCCGCTATCATCTGTCCTTGTGTATAAAGTGCAGTTCGTTCTCCAGGTAGTTATATTTATGGTTTTTAGGTGTTCGACATTTTTTGTGTGTGGGGACAGTATTATGAGTTGTATTCACCACACCCCTATATTTAGGTCTTAATGTAAAACAGACTGCACGTCTCTGTATTATATTACATGGTTGCGATATTTCTTTATGTTATAGATATGGACCATGTGAACGCATCCTATACGATGCCATGTCGGTATACCGACTGTTGAACGATGTGAATGAAATAAGCGTGAATGATTGAATGCCGGTCCTGTACTTTGTACTTGCGTCTCTAAATTTGTCATTTGGTTTTAATAATCCACGTTTACCTTGCTCCCAGGCTTTGTGTCCTACTTAGTGTGTGTCACTTGTTCGTGTCGGTCTGTTTGTCAAGTGTATTCTTTCCTGTTTCACAGGTGAAGCTGTCCTAGTCTCTCTAGTAAATTTTGTCACTGGTAAACAATTATCACCTGTCTATGTCGGTTTAGAAATAAATGCACTGATTTTGCTGTTGTTGGTGTTGACAATTTATATTGTTAAATGGGAACATACAGGTTATGTTTCTCAATACCAGGTGACAACGTTTCCTTCTCTGCCCTTTTGGAGATTCAACCACTTCCATTAAGTCTGGAAGCAGCCTCTTAGCATTTAATTTGAAACATAAAATGAATTGTTTTAAGTGACCGCAGTCCACCATCTTACATGACATAAGGCTCGAGTCGCTAGCTGGCATAATGTCAGCTTTCATCTCCTTATCAGTGATGATATCTTTGTGTGCACATAACTCTGAACAGAGTATTCAGGTTCGAATAGACACCGTTTTGCGGGCACGTAATGTTAAGGTGGAATAAAACAAAATGAATAGACCTTTAAATTATGTGGTACATTCTTTGATATAATGCAACCTTCATAATTTGTTGGATGAACTTAATATCAGCAGTTTACGACCACTGCAAATATACGTTTAAATAGTGAGGCTTGTGCAAAGGAATTAATTACAGTGTTTACTACTTGTAAGGTCTTCATGCGGAATACGCAATGTCGGCGCCTACTGCGAAGCATTTTTACATACCTGCATCGCGGCCAAGTATTATACCGAGCCAGATATGGCCATCTATCGACACTTCATAAACCTTAGGCGAAGACTAGCTGAACTCACAAGATACCATGGAGATGTTAAGGAAGGTAACTTATGGATTATAGAACGTTAAACTAAGGAACATATGGTTGTCTGGAGTTCTTTGTAACTTCTTGATTTCTGTTTGTTTATTTCGGCGGATTGTGAGTAGTAATTTTCGTAAGCTTTTTAGAGTAAAATTAATGACCCCCCCAGACGAGTACAGTGAGGCCTAGTAGTCAGAATTTTTATTTTATTTTTTCTAATTTTTTTAAAGCTTGATTCCACACAGTATTTTCGGTACAAGTATGGAATTTTCAGCATGCAATATCGGTAGCCCAAATTTAGCAGGCCGACCATAGATATCAGGTGTGCGTCGGCGGGGGATCGAACCTCGGACCATGTGCATGGTCGGCGAGAGTCCTAACCACTGTGCCACCGACGCACGTGAATTGAAAGAAACAGCTGTACACTTAATAATCATTCAAGCTACCGACAGCAATAAGCTTAGTGTCGGTTAGAAAGTCTGTAAGGTGAATAGTATACAAAATGGTAATCTTCTGGGATTAATAAGTGGAATTTAGACACTGTAACTACCTTAGTTTCAACATGAAACTTGCATAGAAGTATAGCATTTCAAGTTGTTACACTCCCTGTAACACACAAACGTAGAGAAAAGAGATTGAAAAGAACTTTAATGAACAGAAATATGACAGAAAAGAACCACATGCGGATGTGATGGATCTAGGATATTACAAAGAATGAATGCATCTGCGCCATCAGTTGGTGTACCCAACATTCTTGTCAATGGTTCTTAGCACCCTAATGTCCTCAACAATGTAGTTTACATTTCTCGAATCAACTGTAAAAGCCTTCATGGGTTGATGATTAGTTGTCGTTTGGCCACCCCTAACTCTTTTTCAGCATAATCGTATGTCAACTAACATTGCTCGTCGAGGAAGGCAGTTGCTGGGCGTGCGAAAGACGTATCCTAGCCATCTCGATTGATAGGGACAGTGAGCGTTTCTGGCTCACAACTGGTTGTCATCACTTCAGATGACAAGTATCCGTAGGATTTTACACAGCTTCATGAGTTCGAGTAGAGTGCGTTGAGTAGTGCAGTATAATTTCTCAGCGCTGTGAAGTATACCTGTTTTCTAAGTGATAATAATAATAATTTACTTTATTCCAAAAACAGTACTTGTGATACAGAATGGAATTTTCAGCATTAATCACAATATTGCATCTAATTTCCTCAAATTATAAATAAAATTAATCACAAAGAAAATTTTTCTACATTTACAATACGGTTAATATAAAAATAAATAAAAAATAAAAAACATGCAGCATATAAAATGGAAATAATAATAATGATAGCAGCTAAGGTAATGATAATAATAATAATACAAGTGAAAATTGCCGTCGGCTTGTTTCACACAGTATTGTCGATGCGGTATACGAATCCTTGCATGATTAAAAATATTGAATATGATGTTCTCTTTACATGATATGGTGAGGGGAAAAACAAAAATTACAGCAGTCATAGAGATAAGTTGGTGTTTGCAGTTATGAAAGTGAGAACAAGAAGCAACAGGACCATAAATATAATAGAAATAATAAAAGTAAAACTTGAAGGTATATAAGGATGGATGGAGAAGATTGTTTATTTACTAGATGAAAAAAGGTTAGTCAATTCTTGCCTGACGCTATTTTCATCACATAAAATACGTGCCAAGTATGGTATCATAGAATTTTGATACTAAATGATGCGATGATATGGCCGAAACACGCTCTCCTTGGTTTAAAGCGTGCCTGGTTTCCCCGGGTTTGTTTCTCCGGAGTGCCGCTTAGTCTTCGGGTGATTACATAATATACTAGTCAGGTTTGTCTTGGACATCAGTAGACTGTAATTCTGTTATTTAAGTTTATTTCATAGAACACAGTTATGCAATATTTCTGATTACATTACTTTTCAAACACAATTTATTGTTGATTTCCAAAACATACTGCATTACTGTTATATTGAATGAACTTACCTAATATATAATCCTCCATGCTCAGCTATAACTCTGGATGGAACACTTTAAAGGTAATTCTGGCCTACGGAGCCAGCGTTATCTAATCTAAAGTACGGCGTTCCACGGGTGGTTAACAACTATGGAAGCGGAAGTTTAGAAGAAACTCCAAGTACTGGAATACTTTAAGGCGGTGGAGGTGAAACTGAAATACAGAACTGACTAGATTGTATGGGGAGTTGAATGTCCTATCGATGTAGAGTGAGAGGATAGTTATGCTTGCCTTTAGAAAATGGCCAAGATGATGGGTGTGGCAATTATTAAAGTATAAGTGTATCACTAGTCATATTGGAAATACTGTCTGTGATCATAGGCTTTATATAATCCATGGAAATTGGTTTTCGAAAAGCAGGATGGATTTTATTCAGGCGTGATGCATCGATCATGTGCCCATTTTCTGCCAGCTGCTAAAACACTGTCACACGTATTTCTTGTTACTAGGAATAGCTTTAATTTATTGAATATGATTGATTTTTGGGATTGATAGAGTGGAAGCTGTCTTTTGACAAGTGATGTCATCTTGGGACACTGGCTATGTTATACATAGGTTACAAATGTTATCCAATGTATGTAAATGATGTGAAACGAATAATTCTGAATGGTTTTCTTCAGGCTATACAGTTACATATTAATCATAGAAATTCGAAACAATGTGGTTTCAAATCGAATCAAAGTTCAGGGATGTGAGTTAGTGGATAACAATTTTAGTGATCACAGTAATAACGAGGATAAATTCATTCAAGTTTTTATATAACCTTGGTAGTTGTAAATATGTAAGCAGAATGTGTATACTGGCAGGAGTACTAGGGAAAATAACAATTGTCACATAGCTATTCGATAATATAAGATTAAAATATACAACTATAGCACAGCTTAATATTGATAATAAAGTTAACGGTACAAATAAAAATAATATTTACAGTTATCTGGTGTCACAGGGAGAGGTAACTATTCTAGGTTGGGGATGAAGGCCATGGAAGGAAGAGCTATTGGACAAACTTTTCAACACTGCAATTGGTGACTACCTGAGTTATGCTTAGCAACTGCAGCCCTATAAAGCTGGGGAAGGTAGGTGGCGCCGTGTATAGAATTGTAAAGGCTGAATTTTTATCAGTCTTGTGCTCCGTATCCACTAGGTGTGCCAATATAAAACTCCTGACTGGCTTTACTACTGCTTTACCTAACCAGATTAGACAGTGCTCAAGAAGGCGTTGTTAGGCTTGATAAGTTGTCTTACCCATGTAACTATCTTCAAAAGAACAGTTAAATTTTTAAATTCACATTGAATTGGTTAGACTCGTTAGCTTACTCTTTACGAGTGGTGTATGGAATGGTGAATGAAACATAAGTTGGTCTCATTGGCACGGGCTCACATATTCGGGGTATAGTTGTTCCTAAAGGCTTTCAACTTCCGAGAATTTGAAGAAGCACTCTATAACTGAATAACCAGAGCCGTAAGTATCTGAGAAAATTCCTTTTCTACTTTATCTGTATCGTCTTTATTTTATTTTTCATAAGTGTGGACATAATTTTAAGCTGTATTATGACTGTTAACTTTGTATTTCACCTCACTATACCATATCAACAGAACATTAGACCCAATTATCCATAACATGCTAAAGTTTCCAAACTGAATCGACAATACCGTTTGAAACAAACTCACTGTTATTAGTATTTATTATTATTATTATATCTAATAATTATGTCGTAAATGTAACCAAATTCCTCCGATTAATTTTTGTTTTAATTTTTAATTTTATATACACTGACTAAATCAGATGCAATATTGTGACAAATGCTGAGAATTCCATTCTGTATTATAAGTACTGTTTTTGGAATAAAGTAAATTATTATTATTATTATTTACCATTAGATGGTTTTTGGAATTTCAAGGTGTACTGTAGAATGCTCTTCTAATCAATGTAGTCAGCTCTGTCTAATAACACGAACGCATCTTCCTGATTCGCTATCCTTATAAGATGCTTTCGTTTGGTCAGACCCTGTTTAAGGTCTTGATATGAACCTTCCTGAGGACACTTTTCTCACTACACTTTCTTGATTTATATTGGAAACAATTTTCAACAAGACAGGCTTCCAGTTTTTCAAACTGTAATTGAGATGATGGTACTAAGTTATCTGTCTGACTGAAAAGGGTTTCAAGCTGTAATTCAGTTTCTAATCTTATTGGACAGTTTACGAAATCACGATACCTTGGATGTAATGAAAATACCTCCAGTTCTAGTAGAGTGAGAGAAACTCTGGAAAAGTTACGAGCATACCTTTCAGGATGTACCACAAATATAATTTGTGGTGGTTGCTTTTCCAATGTTTTCGTTAGTCAAGCATTGTGCTTTTCTATACATTTATCAGTAACCTCCTTGATGTAATTCACAAACATAAAACGTAGCTTATCTGTTAAATTAGCAGCCGCAGTTTGACTTTGCGATATATTTCTATGAAGGTTAAGACATTTGATCTCAATCACATTTAAGGTAAAACGTTTCAGCGTCCTCGTGTTCAGTCTTTTTTGTAATATTCGTAAGGATTCTCAGCAGAATTTTTTATTTTACACGGAGTATCTCTCATTGTCCTTGTTTTTGATTAAGTTTTGAATAAACAATTTAAAAGATCAAAACTAGATTGGGACGCCGGTAAATATTTATGTTTTATAGTGTAGCAAGTGATTGAAATCTGAGCATCAAACTGTTGGATAAGTCTAAAAATGCCCGATAAAATAGGAGTAAAACCGTGGATCAAAAATGTTTTCATGTTATGGCGTAATGATAACAAATGTCGACTAGATGGGAAGATAATATTTATTTTTCATGTTGCTTCATGAGTTATATATAATTATATCTTTATTGTAAAATTTGTTTTCAGTACTGCAATGGCCTCAGATGGGTCAGATATTGATGACTATGAGTCCTGCAATTGGTTCCTAAAAGTACGACCCCAAGTGCTTGTTTCAGAAGTCCACTCACATCCCTTGACATCCAATGAAGGATATTTGATGGATAACCGTACACAGCGGTTTGTGGAGCGTTATTTCAATGCCTTTTATTTAGTTGATGTTGGTGGGGAATTAGAAAACGATATCTGTTTACTAAGGCATAGCAATACTGTATGTGTTGTTGGCCTTGCCTTTGGTCATCATATTTTTAAACGGTGTGTCACAAATGCGTGTAATAAAACGGATTCGGCAGTGAATCATCAAATCTTGGGATTGGACTACCAGGTAAATAGCTTTAATATTTGCTAACTACTTTATGCAGGTGTGTAACGTAAATTCCTGTTTCTGTACTATCATTTAGTATCTCTGAGGTAATAAAACAATATCTCAGCATGCTTATTCTCTGAACCCCACCAGGCTAACGTCCTGAATCCAAAATATTCATCCTACGAGTCTCAAACGATTCTTCAGTCCTCCTGGAGTTACTCCTTTATGGATAGAATTTAGCTCTGGAGCTGAACTTATTCCTACTAAACTACCGTCTGTGTTGTCATTCTGAGCGTGCCTGTTCCATTAGAGAAAGGTATTCGTTCCAGCATTCTGCACTGAAGAGTTTATAATACTCTGGAATTTCAATAAGAAAAACTGCACAAAAGCGCAGTGCAGTTGGCTACACTTCATAAAACCGCACATGAAGGTAGGGGGAGAAAAAATGACTATGATCAGCGGAGATATACAGGAGGAAGAATATTTACATGGAGAATTATGAGGATTTAATAGACCTAGGTGATCACAAAGAGTGAATGCATCTGTCATTGAGAACGATTTCGATCCATTACACCTACGCTCTCGAGAACCCCAGCCAGGCAGTCTACACTATCCTATGTAACTCAAATCAAATGTCAAATGGTCATGTCTCGCAGCTGTAAAGAAGGACAAAGCGAATTGTTGCGTAGCACACGCGTTCTGAAGTGGATAGTCCTGTACCGGAGATGATGGAAGTTGACAATTACCACACGAGCGTTTTGTATCCGTGCTGAGTTTTTGTCAGCAATCAACCGAATAATGTTAATACTACTTCCAAGATAGGTGAAGTGGTTAACACGCTCAGCTATTTCATTCCCTATTTTTAAACTGGGAGCCAAAACAGACTAATCCTACGTCATTTTACATCCTGCAAATGCCAATTGCATGCCAGACATAATAAGGATCCTGCTCAGTGTCCAAAAGACTTTGCATTTACTAAACTTTGGTTGCAGGTTATCAACAACCTGTTCCACTATTCCTAAAGTAGTCTAGATATAATACCAGCTTTCCTTTGGATAGATATTGCTATGATACTCATACGTGTTTAGTTATTTCTTCTCCAAATAAAGACGATCCCCGTTGTCCTTTCTTCTGCATGAGACTACATAAGTGCCACGCGTATGTTTTTCTGGTTGGTACAGATTTGCTGCTCGAGCATTGGAGTAAAGGTGTGACTTATTAGCTCAAACACTGTTTTCAACTCATGGGTTTGAGTACCTTCCCACCTATTTCAGTCTAGTCAACTGGGTAGTACTATCAGCCTTCACACAATTAGTATGGCTCTCGTCCTGGTACATGAATCTGTCCTGCGTAATTTAGCATTTAAAAAACACAGAAAAAACGTTGGAATCATCTGTTAAAGCGACTCTCTATGAGTATTTTATTTGTAGCAGCAAACTAGGCAGCTTTCGATGGAATTCATCCTTTAATCCATTCTAACTGCAGTCGGTTGAGGCGTAAATGGAGATTATGAAAAGATATCAATGGGTATTGCAGTCCTTTTTTCTTACTTATTCAGTCGGAGAGCACACAGGACTATTCACTGGAATCCAGTCAAATAAAAAATTTATCTGTGCTAGAGGTCAATGCTATTCCTACACCTCAAGTCCACGTGAACCAGCTGAAGAGTCTCCCAACTCAAGTTGGGTGAATTTTATAGGTTCACCGTGTTGGCCAGGTAAGGTTAAATGAATAACCACATTTGGGTCTTGTATGCATGTTGCCAAGGCTCAACATTCATCCGTAGCTTGTGGTGTCAGAGTCCTGATTAGTGGGGCTTATTATCGCCCAATTTAGCATAATGTTCGGACATTGAAAACTCAGATGTTAAGTTGGCAGCACTGTTTTGAGACCCTGGGAGTAGCGTTTTTCTGTTTCAGGCTGCTACTAAATGATCGGAGGGCGAGGAGTAGGGAAAGAAACTACTTGTAAAATACTATTAACGGTAGTAGCTAGGTAAGATGATGGCGCGTGGTAATGAAGAAAGCTAATGGAAATGTGTGGGTGGCTATTACTTCCCGGTTGCTCACACCTTCGATGTTTATGTCTTAATATTCTTGAGACGGAAACAACATTAGTACTGCGTGAACGCAAAGCCCAAGGAACAACTGCATTAGGCTTTTCAGACACACTGTTCGAGTTGGATTTAGTTTTCTCCTTACTAATATCATATCGCTGAAGGGTAAGCTGGGATATAAAATGTTTGGGGTAGATTTTTTACCAACCGCCTCTCCACAAAGCGGAGATGCACCGTAGCTAGCCTGCTAGTCACCCGAGGGAAACATCTTACTGCCGTTACAACCCTATTCACCGAAAGTGAGACCTCGCCTTCAGATCATCAACGTAGTGTGAACGAAAAACACCATGATGGTGTTCTTAGTCTGACCACTATCGAAATGACTTTACTGCCATGGGCCCGCAGAGAAATTCGTTCAACAAAGCAGCTACTTATATAATGAATGTGATGTAATTCAGTAGCACAGAGTTTGTGATATTGACATTATTTAGACCAATGAACATGACGTGGAGTCTGAACTCGTGATTCGTTACCTGACAGTGATCTGTTTCAATTAGCCTCTCTATATACAGGCTTTTAAGGAGTGTGTTACTATTTTACCTCAAAACTTTAGTTCATCCTATTACTCATTCATCATGTAATTAGCAACTTTTGAAACTGAGTGGCCATCATTTTCTTTTGACCTTACAATTGTGCATAAAATCAAAATGTTAGAAATGCATTGTCATCCATTTTGATTACTTCTTGTGTTTCCGTTTATTTTTGATTTTGAAACATATTTTAGGTTTCCAATGGTCTGGACCGTTTGAAAAATGAAATTAGGGGTCGTCGCAAACATGGAAGTCACATTTTGAGTAAATCCACGGATATACTTGCCTATGCTGTCTGTGATCAAGGAGTGAGACATCCTATAGTATGTGGGTTACAAGGACATCTTTTAGAAGTAAACAGTAATCTCGATATCAGAAAAAATCAACCTGACTCTTATTCTTCTCCGCCTATCCATAACTCAGATAACCCATGTTCCTCTTTGTCAGCAGTAAACTTAACTCCTTTGATAGATAAAGGGGATAAGATTGGGGTTGGCACATATGTGTGCATTATAATGCAGAACTCAAGGTCAAAGAAATCTCGAAGTGGTAAAGTGAGTGATTACTCATTATCGAAAACTGGTGGTCCTAATTCGGCTCTTACACCTCATGCAGATGATTTTCCAGAATATATTGACTGTTCTACTCAATCAGAATACGCGTCACAAATTGGCGATTTTATTTTATTCTCCAAATCTCAAAAAGTGCTCAACTGGAATGAATATGTAACCCTTAGATTATCCCATTGTACATAATGATATGTTTAATGTCTACGTATTTTGATGAGTTTTTTTTATTCCTTTAAACAGTGTTAAAGTATCCAACAGGTTAATATGTAAACACTAAATTCTAGCGCATTCTTCTTAAATATCACCCTTGTAATGATAATAAATAACGATGGTTCGGGACCGGTTTCACTTCAGAATCACTATACCGTAGAATTCTTGTGAAGATTTTTCTATTGATATAAGTATAAAACTTCGGCACTGTGGTAGAGTATAATTCCATAATGGATAAGATTTTATTTTGATAAATCACACAGTGTAGTACAGTTATATTAACTGATGACGTTTCGAGCACAAACTATTGCTCATAATCATATCAAGTTACTCACACAACTTCTTTCCTTCATTTATATACATGTGTGGAATCGACTAGATATTGGAGTAAAATTCAATATGAGATAATGTACATTCAGAAATAATAGTACGAGTGTTATTAATCCATTGCAATTAAATGGGAAATACGACGAGTGTTTTTACAGTCATAATAAGTTGATTGTTAGGATGTGTTGATGTGTTAGAATGCAAATAGAATTTTAAGATTATTTATCATCCTCTTCTGATTTGACTGGCGGTAATAATATCTTCCATATTTCTGGTATTTGCATTGAGTCACTTCTGTTGCATGTGTTGGGTGTGGACTCGATGAATAAGGATTCCGTAATCAACCTCTCTCTCCACCTACCTATATTACTTTTTAGAATTTTAACCCTATCCCACCCTACTGTGTGGTTGTTTGTTATTGCGTGAAGTGCAATAGCTGAGTTTTTTTCTAAATTACTTATCTTTTCAGGGTCAATCATTTTTCCCTTAGCTAAATTCTTATGTTCTGATAATCTGACTATCCCTGACCTATTAGTTTGACCTATGTAGTTGACTTCACAGTCATTGCAAGGTATTTTGTAAATTATATTATTTTGTTTAATTGGGTCCAACGGGTCCTTTAACCTACAAAGTTTGTCTCTGAGTGAGTTTGTTGGTTTGAATGCCACCCTAATTCCTGCTTTATTGAGAATCCTACGTAGGGCCTCAGATGTCCCCTCCTTATATGGCATAACAGTAGAAGACTTATATTCTCTCTTATTTATGTTATTACTACTAGTTACACAATTATTTTTATTTTGTTTTTGGCCTTTACTGATCTTAATGAATTTTATAGGATAGTTATTCAACACCAGCGCTTCTTCTATCTGTTTTATTTCGTCATTTAGGTCCTTTTTTGTGCTACTGTGCATTCTAATAGATATTTAGACTTTAATTCGTCTCATCCGTTAACTGTTAAGGCAGGCTTGGTTAAGTGTCTGACAAACCGAGCCATAGCACTAAGTAGCACAAAAAACTGCGAGAAGAGGCGACAGCGAAGGCAGGACTGCAGGTGAACATGGAGAAGACGGAGTTGATGAAGATAACCAACGAACCGCAACAACCATTAACAATCACAGTCAACGGGAGAGATTTGAATGAGGTTGCCTCCTTCAGTTATCTGGGAAGCATGGTTTCAACAACAGGCGGAACGGACGAAGATGTCTGAGTCAGCTAGAATGGGAAGGGCAAGATGCGCCTTCATCAACCTGAAACGAGTTTGGAAATCTTCCGCAATCAGCATAAGGAACAAGATTCGGATTTTATTCAACACAAATGTAAATTCAGTCAGGTCAGAAACTTGCACTGCGTGTCACGAAAAGAATTTCCAACAATTTACGGGCTTTTATCAACAGCTGCCTTCACTGGCTACATACTAGAGATCAAATGGCAGGCCAGAAAGGATTATTTACAAGAAACTCTGGCTGGGAACGAACCAACCAAGAGCTGATTGCTCAACAAATATGTAGGAGAAAGTGAAGATGGATCGGGCATACATTGAAGAAACTGTCGAATGACATTGCGCGCAGTGCACGCTATAGCTCTGGTGGAATCCAAGTGAGAAGCGGCGAGTGGGTCGTCAGTACGAAGGTGACATGGAGGAGAGCGTGTGAGGAAGAGATGAGAGAATTTGATGGATCGTGGACCCAACTGAACAGGACAGCAGAAAACAGAAGAAAGTGGAGATGTGTTGTTGAATCCCTGTTCCACTCGGAATGCAAGGGAATAATAATAATGAGTTCGAAGACATCCTCTGTCATCTCAGCTATGCTAACGGATATCTTTTTGTCTTCATTATAGGATATTAACTGGTATTTCTTAATGTAAGTGAATAATACTTGAACATCGAACATAATTTATTAAACAATGGTAAATCCAAAAGTCAACAATTCACGAAATACTAATCCTAAAAGAAATATCCAATTTATAATATTAGGTATAGTCGGTTGTCAAAGTTGCGATTAGTAAAAGAGTAGAATTACTCTTGTAAAATGGTACATATAAAACAATTAGTCATTCTGTAACCCTTTCAATATTGATGTGTTTAAATACACTGACATGCACCTGTTATAAATTAATTTTTAAGATGAAAATTTGAAAGTAAGTCTTTTTGTAGGTATTGTTTTAGATTCAAGTGGAGACTGAGTTATCATTTTTTTAACTCAAGAGAGTAACACAAAGTATTGATTCAGGCAGTAAAATAAGTCCAATAGTTTACTACCCTAAGAAATCAAGAATAACTGATGGGCAAAGAAAATAACTGAGTGTCAGCATCAGGAACAACAGAAACATGAATGAATAACAAAACCAACAAGTTAAAATATCAACTGGGATCAAATGGTTTTTTGTTGTTAATAATATGAGAGTGGTATATTTCACATTTCTCTATGACATCCAGGTTCATTATCTGGGCATACACAAGTACGTGATCTTCCACCATCATTAGGTAAACATATGTAACGACAACGTCCATTAGAATAACTGCATGGATTAGTTGAAGCTATGAAAATAAATAAGTAGAGGTTGTTAATAGCATCATTAGTTGTTGTAGCTAATTTAGCTTGTTATTTTTATTGATGAAAATAAAAGTAAACCTGTAAACTTAGTAGTGAATCAGGTATTTACGTATTTATTGTTGTCCAAAAGGATACAGAAGACGGTGTCTAATGTACCATCGAAAGCTGCATAATAAAGAACTTCGGACCGGAGTATTCCTCTATCCTCAGCTTCATTTCTTGAAATATTTATACTTTTTCAAGAAAAGAAGATATTTGTCGACATTACGCTAATTTAACAGTTGATATAGACGACTCTTATTAAAGAATTATTCATATACTTTGAATACTCTGTTTATTTATATTGAGGAAATAATTTTATTGCATATGGTAAACTGAACTTAGGTTATTGGTATTCTATTACACTTATCAGTTGTCTTCAAAGTATTCATTCACAAACAAATTAGGCTTAAAATAAATTTTGTTCCCTTGTTTAAGGAATACCGGTTTGGTATCCACCATTACCATCAACGGGAGAAATCTGAAGGAAGTCACCGCTTTCACTTACCTAGACAAAAACTGTTCCCACTACTGGCGGCACATATGAGGATATCGGAAAAGTGAGATAGACCTACATTACTCTGAACTCAGTGCGGAAAAATTTTGCACTCCAGAATTTCTACACTGACGTCAAATCAGTGCTTCTACATAGTTCAGAGACTTGGAGCTTCACAAAAAGGAATCCCAGCAACCAGCTGCAGGCTTTCACCAACAGCTACTTCCACTGGATACTGAAGATCAGATGTCAAAAAGGAAATCTGTCAACAGACCAACCAAGAGCCTATCTCCCAACAAATATGCGGAGATGGATAGGAAGTACTCTGAGTAAACCGTTGAGTAACATCACGCGCCATGTGATTAGTTGGGCTTCGCAGGGTGACAAGGAGAAGATCGTGTGAGGAAGAGATGAAAGCTTATTGGCAATCGCACAGCCAGCTGAAAAAAGACTTCGGATAACAGAATGAAGTGGAAAAATGTTTTTCAAGTCCTATGCCCCACTCGGAATAATAGTAAAAACAATATGTAGTGACTGAGCGATATGAAAAACAATATAATTGGGTTACTTACTGGCTTCAGTATGATAATGCATATGGTTAAAAATCTAAAGTAGCAGGATATAAGTCAAATTTTTTTAACAGCTAGTTATTTTTGAATGTTTAAACCATTCAATATCAGGTTACGAATGTGATTTATGGAAATAGGTGTTCAAATGTGTTAATGTGACTAATAGTGTTTATTGTTACTTGCAAATACTATTTATACGGACCAACTGTCTAAATATAGAAAATGAAGTACTTAACTGTAGGTTCATTGTTGAATAAGTTATCCTCAGAAATATGTTGACCCAGTAGTTAAAATGCATTGAAATTCTAGAATAATACTTCGGTCACATTCGAAAGACTCCGAGCTATACATAGATTGATTTACTTTATAGCCACTGTAATGAATTCATATAGGAAATTTGATTTAGTCTTCATACTGATAAATTGCAGTACAACTGCTGTAGATGTTTATAAAAATTTTTTGTGTATGAATGTTTCATTCTTTTTTAATCGTCTTTTCATGATCTTGCGTCCTGATTGGCTGTTCAGGATCGTATGTTGGACAGGTCTTATTTACGAATAAAAAAATACTTTTTAAGGAATAAAAATACATTATTTTTGAGGCAGTAAATTTGAAACCGTCAAGTGAATGCATTTTTAATTACCTTGAGGACATTCGCCTAATACTGCTAAAGCTTGGAAACGATTGGAACAGCACACATAACGAACACGTATTCGACGGTCAGGATTAATAGAGTAAAACACCGTTCTAAAATATAAAGTAAAATAGTAGTAACCATATTTAAGTGATAGATAAGATTTCATTCTTTATTCTTATATGAGCTGATTCAATCATCGTTGTTCCTAGCTGACAGAGAAAATCATTACAAGAATACTACTGATGAATCATATCGAGCATGTAAACTTCCACATTCAAACTAATAAGGTTACCATACATTCTTCTTTCTCGTTTATTATTATATTATACACATACATGTGTGCGTCGGTGGCACAGCAGTAGAATGCTCGCCAGCTACACAGGTAGTTCGAGGTTCCGGCTGACGCACTCTTTTACCTCGCTAAGCCAGTAATAAGACTGGTAAAGAGGGAATGTTGGGCATGAGGCTAGCAACCTCATCCATGCACATGGTCCCGGGTTCGATCCCCTGCCGACGCATACCCGATGTCTATGGTCGGCCTGCAAAATCTGGGCTACCGATATCCATGCTGGAAATTCCATACTTGTACTGAAAATACGGTGTGGCATCAAGCTGTAATAAAAAAAAGAAACACCACTGCTACCGAAACTTCCAGCCTCTAGCTTGAAGCCCTATGTTCCACTGGGAAGTAAAGGGATTATATATATATATATATATACCTGTAGCCAACTTTCATGCACATTAAAAATCATAGTATAAGTTGTATCACGTTAAAAGTAGGATATAAATTAAACAAATAACTCTAGTGTTATACTTGATATTTTTTCATACTATTCATATTTATTTTGTAATGTTTGAGTTTCAACTAATTTGTTTGAACGTATCATTCAGATTGAATAGTTTTCCTTTAGTCAATCAAGTTGCAGTTTAACCACGATATTTTACTCTTAAAATTGTATTTACTAGGAAACAACATTTATTTTCATCATTTATTCCAACTTGTATGCCATTGCCTGGATGAAGGTAATCGGGTAAGAACGTAGGCAATCACAGTGAGTAGTGAAAAAGCAAACTATTGAAAAGAGTGAGTAATTAGATTACTCAGGTCTTTTATACGGATATAGCTTTTAGCTGGACACTTTGAGAACAGTAATAATATCACTAAAAAAGTCTCTTTAAAAGAAGTGAAATATATAGTTATAACTACATAGAAGTTATATTGTCTTGTTGTTTTATCTTGACAACCAGTTTTGAAAATTGTGAAGCTGACTGATTGTTCTAGTAGCTTAACTTCCAACCATTAGGATAGCCGTGCAATGTCCAATACACCTACTCATGCTTGAACAACCACCTATTATCACTAGTCGTCACACAGTGGGCATATTTCTAAATGTATGATAGTGCTTTTGAAAAGCAAATACACTTTCAAATAAATAGATAAGTACTGTAAAGAAAAGCTCATCTGTCAGCATAATAAATTTATCAAGGTGTTATTATATAGTAATGTTAATTACCTTGTTGCATCTGTCCATAACAGTGTTCCTTTATGCTGGGTCATGCCGAATGATGGTTCTTCAGAGGGATTAAACTCCCTTAGTCTTTCATTAGTTAATATTTCTCTGCCTGTTTGACCTAGTCGTGCACAATGTAATTCAGTGACTAATCCATACATTCCTTTTGTTGATCTTTGCATCCAACACAATTTTCCTGCTGAATTACCATTCACCGGTGTTGATGGAGATATACTTATGGCTAATGGTTCACCAGTTAATTGTAACAATTGTTCTTCATTTTCACCTGACATTGAAGCTACTTGTATTGTCCCATTTGGTCGCCAACCATCTGTATATATTGCCCAATACATTAAACTATTATTATATAAAAAGAAGGAAAGAAACAACATAATATAATTATTGTACACTGAAAGCAGTATATAATAAAACAATTAGATAAAAGGAATCAGAAATATGTACAATTTTCAAGATATAAGAGAAATGAAGCTGTGAATATATCCTAGGGACTATAGTTTATTTCTATCTCAGTTAGTCAGATTATTCTATGAACTCTAGAAAAAGAAAGTTTGGAAAGTAAATTAGTTGAAATGTATGTTAATTCCGCCTTAGATTTTGGTTGGTAATCTTTTATAAGCCACCCTGAAAAATGGAAGCTTAAAGATTTTTTGTGATAGAAAGAGACAGGAGTAAAGGTAATTTACATCTGATAGATAATAGACCATACAAACTATAAGGAGTGCAACCCGAAGCACTAGCTCCTTACATTTTGTTTATGTCACTAGGTAGTAGGAGTCAGTTATCTGCTTGATACCCTTTGAAGTCATTTATTACCTGTCGATGAAACTTAACCCAATTACAATAGCTAACTATTTTTCTAATGGCAGTATTAAAATATGACTTCGGTGTATTGTATTGACTTATCAATCATATTGAAGAAATTGAGCAGGAGTTGCATAATGTGAATGGAAATAAATTCGAAATACTAAATTTCATATATTTTGTTCCCTTAACAAAACTGACCAAAACTTATTAAGTTCAGATCCAGTAGGTAAATCACAACATGCGCAACTTGAAGTTCGACGATCACGTTTGGGAACAGGTGAATGAACCCAAACTAAAAAGAAACGCTTATTGAGTAAGCTTGTTTCACTGTGTTCTCCAGGTAATGTTGATTCATGAGAAAATGTAGGCTGGAAATAACTTAATTCACAGAAACCCGTCTAATGGGAAGTGTTGATACACTATGTGAAATGCTCACCTAAGGAAGTATTCTGAAATGTGAGATGAAAGATAAGGATTTTTGCTCCAGATAAACTTACTTCCACAAAAAAATGAAGTAAATATGTGAGTAGTTGGAAACCTCTCAAATCAACCAGTAGCGCTTTTACCTAGATGAAAGGGATTGAAACGTCAGACGGCCGTCTGACTCGTTTGAAGCGGAGCTTGTTAGCGCTATATCCATTCTAGTTCACATCATAGGTTCAAACCACTCTAATTCTGGCTAGTTACTTGAGTAAATTTGCAAAACACAGAATTCAAGTAGTATATATATATATATATATATATATGGATAACAGCTACTGTTTCGTATTTGTCCCGACTATTTTCGATTTTCCTGATGTCCTCTGTACATTTTCCCATGTTTACTAAGTGTGAATAAATCTTTCACTGCTTAACTCTAGTAACTGTAATGTAAATTTGTTCCAAAGAAAGGTAAAACGCCCACTGGTTTGGTGTAACTAGAATTAAGAAATTGTGTCCATTTTATGATGCAACGTGTGGTTAGACGTAGTAAACTCTTGACCTTTTTCCAACATAGTCGAACTTTAAATGACATAGCAAGATAATTACCATAATGGTGGGAAATGTCCGATACTGTAAATCATCAATGTTTATAATATATTCGGCTAAAACACTTCCAATATTTTGATACACTACAGCTAATGTCCATATACTCATTATAGATAAGATTTTATTTTGATAAATCACACAGTGTTATGCAGTAATATTAACTGTTGACGTTTCGAGCACAAACCCTACCACAGTGCCCAAGTTTTATACTTTTATCAATAATGTCCATATAGTTTGTCAGGTAAATGAGGAATATTACGCTAGCAAAGTAATTACCTCCCTGGTCTTCAGTAGTCATAATTAAGACTTATAAATATTTTTACATATATTGTATTCATACTAAATTTAAAGATGCATTGACATTATTAAAGATCTGAAAACAAAAAATGATATCAAATCAAATTCCTTGTTCATAAATAGAAATACAAAATCATGAATGTCATTTTCATCACTGACGACAGTTAAAAAACCACCGATAAACATGGAATACTGAACAGTTTTGCAAATCCATTACCCCAATGAGCATTCAAATGATGATTAAGGTTATGGGAACTTGCTTTACCACTCAACTAATCGATTGGAATCCAGCTGTTCATGAGTTCTAACTTTTATTGATTAGCCATATAGGATGAATGTTATCTAACCTGTGCTTGGTAGCGCGGCTTGAAGTGTAGTGTTGTGACCAGTGAAAGATATTTTAGAACACTAAAGAGGTTCATTGGATGAATGACGTAAGATACAGCTTCGAAGAGAAATATTTTGTATTCTATCAGTTACTAGAAGTGAAGTCGGCTGATGCTACTTAAAACTATAGTTATATTGTATTATTGTTATGTTTACTCACCCTAGCGTAGGATGTATAGCTAGTCCTGCGAAATTCTGAGGCACTGAGGATGTTAAACTATGTAAATTTTCAAGCGTATAGCCAATATTTGGTTTGGTTGGATTGAAAACAACAATTTTTCCATTTGCTTCATCCCAGGCAAATACATTTCCTGAAAGTGGATCTACGGCTAAATTACGAAATCGACTAAATTGTGAATTATATATTTCTTTTATGGTTAATTGTTGCTGACCAGAATTCGCGTTGCCCCATCGAATAGCATGACCATAATCAGATGTATAAATAATTCGTTGGCTGTTGCAATCAGCTACCATAGAAACAGGTCCGTATTTATTGTTTTCAGCTAGATAAAAGATAAACGAATCATGAAATTACAAAGCATAAAAAATAAATTGATTTCCTAGAATTATTCTTCAATAAGTAAGCAAGAAGTCCTACCTGATATTCAACACGATGTATAGTGACGAAATTATTTTACTAGGACAACTGAAGACCCTGATGTATGACAGTTTGTGGGACAGAACTAAGCAACTCTTTAATTTTTGAGTTTGATGACCTTGCAGTTTGTAGGTGGAATCTAGGTGGGTACCATCACAGACAAGAATGAGTTGAATAAATGTCAAACATGAATATTTTACAAAATACTTTTCTTTCTATAACATAGAATAAAGATGCTTTTCAGTATCGGATTTGTTCATCCAGCATTGATAAAGCTAGTTTTGAAACAGTACTGCGGTTTCAAAGGTTGTTGATTGCGAAAATACACGATCAGAGATAGAGCTTAGTGCTTTCCATAACAGTTTGTAAAGTACCTGGTTTCTGTTAGGATTTCTAGCTTTCTAATACAAACTCAATGAGTAGTTTGCTTGCCTAAACACTAATCCAGTCTTTATAACTTGAATCCCAGGGAGACAATATACACAGTTTAAAAAGTTATTCACTGACTGCTGTAATTTCTACAGTCTTGGTCCAACTAATGTAAACATTCTTTCAGTTTTTCCAGCTCTGGTTACCTTCGTATGAATTTCCTTATCAGCAAAATGATGTAAGAATGGAACTCTGCACTCAATAATGTTACCTTAATAGACAGCAAGAACACATTATCATTGAGGTTTTATTGATACAAAGATGAATATTAGTTGTTATTTTCATGCCAATCGCACGACAGTCAAACCAATTCCTGGCACATGAAGACCTTAGTAGATATAGGACATTTTATCACACATTCATTTTGTATTTAAAAAGCGCTTAAAAACACTAAGAAGAAAACAGAAAAGGTAGCTGAGAGGTTGTCTTACTAAAATCTCATTCTCCAGCTTCATGATTAAGTGTAGGTTCTATGTTTGTTCAGTAACAAAAACCGAGCAGGTCACAAATTACATTAAAAACAAGACATTATGAATGACTTGTAGGAAACTGAAAGAATCACATAGTGTGGTAAAGAAAAACCTTGTCAAGACGAAAACAGTTTCTGTTGATATTATTGAAGGAAACCAAAAATCCTTAGGCTGGAACTGCTGAACAGTTAGATTTCTAAAAACTCTTTTAGGATCGAACTTTTCCTAGTTTTTGAGATAAACATTGACATTCTGGGAGGGGTTAGCTAGGATCCGGTAATTCGTGATTTTTAAATTCTAGTCTGCTGAATATCACTTTATCATACACTGCTGTCAGCTGACTAGGCTGATTCAGGGAATGACGGTTTCTAGTGAAAATATTTATCTATTTACCATAAACCTAGTTAACAGTGGTCACTAAAATGTTGATAACTTTTTTTTTTGTGGAAAATGTTAATTAATTCAGTTGTTTCTTAGTATTTCTCTCGACGATTAATTACAGCTACTATCTGCATGTAAAATAAATTTCTCTTTATTTATAGTACAAAGCATATATAAGCATTTTTAGATTACATTTACTTGATGAATCACCTACCAATATTCCATAATGTGGCTTTTGTTACATTAGAATCAGTAGACTGCGTCATTAAAATGCCATCATCACTAGTAAGCAGTACGTTGAATGGAACTTCGAAGAAAAATAAGAGAAAAAGTTAGTCACTTAGTAAATTGATAATAATCGAATCAGATATATTGAAATATCAAGAAATATTTCTCATTATTATGTGTATCCAGTTAAAGAGCTGTTGATGAACAACAAGAACAATATTGTTTCCTATATGTACATTGGTGAGTTTTAGTGATCTCTTTTCTTTGGGAATTGTAGACTACAGAGATTTCAAAACTGTTTCATCTTCCTAGCTAAATGGTTCAATTATAAAGCTCTCATTGTTTTAACCTATTGTGTCTTCAATTTTATTTTCATTTTGAATTTAGCAATGAAGAAACTTAGTACAAAGTCTCTATGGAGCAGATTATTGTTTTTTTTAAAATATATTTTTAACGCTAAAGCTAACAGCAGTGAGGGGATACATTATAAAGTCTTGACTTGACTGCCACTGTAATTAGCCTCGTTAATTCAAATCATGTTGTCAAGACCAGTGGATCTTCATAAACATAAAGCGAGTATCCAATGTTATTGAGGTGATAATTAATCACTTTTTTTCGAGGAATAATATAGTTTTCCTAATCCGTTCCAGTAGCTTCCACTAGAAAAACCATTCAAATGCTCCATTTACCTGTCAGAATGACGAACTATTTTGGTAACTGAATGCAGTGTAATTGTGGTGTTTACAGGTAACATTATAAACACTACAACTTTTACCAAAACAAATCAAATTTAACATACTAAGGTCGAATTTTACTGAACAGTATATTTAAAATTGGGTTCTTACAATTTACTCTCATATTCAACTATTTGTCTTCATAATTATTTAGCAATACTGTATACTTAAAAAATATCAGTGCATGCTAGATCAGTCTGTTGACTAGGCAATTCTTGATTGTTACTATTACAAAAGTTTAAATTTCACTACTGATCTTAGTAACCAGAAGTTAGAAGTGGTCGTCAGGATAAAAAAAATAAAATAAACCTAATGGTATTTACTGAAGAAATCATCCTTTGAAATCTAGAAAAATGGTAATTTTTTGGAGTGAAAAAATATTTTGTTCTTTGTGATGATAATTATAAAGTTTCAGACTAAGCTGAAGTGTTTTTCTCTTATGTGTCACGGTAAATCAAGCCATGAACTAGTGTGTCATCTTTGAAAGTTGTAGGACTATTAATTCGACTACAAATATCCAGATCATGGATGTTCAGAATTTCGTGGAGTAATTTGGGCGTTGAATCAGACTAAATTATTTTACAGTTGCTTAAAATAAATAATCTAGCATGTTTAGAACATCGGAACAAGATTTTTCTTAACGTTACTTACAGTTGGAGATGTCGGCAATACCAAAGTAACATTTATCTATCTGGCAGTATAATCACTCTTTCTAAAAGTGTTTCTGAACAACATTCTGAATAAAATTAACTGAAAGTAAAAGAGGAATACTGAGAAATTCTGCGTGTCAAGACCGCTAAAATATTTAAAAAGGTGTTTACTGCATATCGTGTTAAAACCTGTTTCAATTCGTCAAATTCTTCAGAGAAAGCTTCAGTTACGATGAATGATACATTTCCTGAAATGACACTAACCAACTGTGTTTATAGGATTAAATTTTTAGAATACAAGGCTTGCTAGGTCGCAGAAAGAAGTAGCTAGGTGAAAGTCATAGTGAGTGGACATATATTACGCACAAAACAACCGCCTAAGAATGAAGTGGAACTAAGAAGTCTTGAAAAGAAACTAGCAATAGAAAGTGGACATAAGACGGATTTTGACAATGTTGAAGTAGTAGGAAGAGGTTCCAATTCATACAAAGATGGATTGACTTCTGAAGCCTTGCATATTTTAACTAGATGGAATGAAATAAATAGGAGGGAAGGGGTTATCGCTGAGTTTGCAGACCCTAGCTAAATAAAGTGGAAAACGACGATACATTATTATTTTCCAGCCTCTGAAGAATTACTGTCACTTATGAATCAACATACAATTAACATCACACAACATATTTTACTGATTTAACATCGACAAGTTGACGATATCGATGCAATTATTTGATGACTAATCACAATCATTTTGCACAAATATTTACCAAAAAGTGACTTTCATACGAGTTCACCTTTATTTATTATTTTGATGATCAGGAAAATTAGAGTGATTCTGTTGAAGAAGCTGTAGCTTCGTACGAAACGAGACGTTCAGGAAAATCTTGTTTTAATTTTCTGATGCATGCTGGAATTATTTATTTTAAATAACTTTATAATCTTCTAGTCTGTCTATTTGTTTAATCCACCTCAAGAGAAGTGATCGATTTACGCGCTGAATCACTCGGCCAACAAGTTTGCTTTGCAGTTGTACAGAGTCTTAATGCAATAATACTTACTTAGAAAGTTTTGCTATCAGATTAGGTATTCATAAAGATACTTTATAAAATTACTCTTTTAGCAATTAGGAAGCAATAAACAGATTAAAAAATGGTCTGCACCTTAGTCAAAATTTAGAACTTTTTAATAATGAAGACGATACCAGAGGTTTATAAGAAATAAACTTTCTTGAAGTCCGTTAATCTGACACTGAAATTAATATTACTGATAACCTTTAAACTCCGACAGGGCTTTGAATAACGATTATAAATGGTTAAAGGTTCGCTTTTCAATAACTATTATACTTTCTGACTGCACTTATTCTTCCAGTAACCAACATTTTCACTGTAACTTATTGAGATGAATGATACTTAATTTGAAATAAAAATAGTCATACATACAAAGTAAATACAAAACTGTTGGTATAAGATAGTTGGAATCAAAACATTTCACCATTCATCTAGAGCACATACTTGCTGATTCTTCTATATTTACGTCAATAAATGCACGAACATTACCAGCACGACATTCATATCTTCCACTATCAGTTAATGCAGGTTGGTCTATACGTAGTAGAAGTTCATATCCATTTATTTGCCTAGATCTAGTTACTGATGGCTCTTGAGCAGAGTGTGGTTGTATCCACTGGCCAGAATATGATTGATCACTACCAGTTACGTAACATCTTAATTCAAGCGGGTGAGATACATCCGTTATATGCATTACTTCTCCTTCGCCGATAATTCTCACTTTTAAAGAATCTAAAAGAAAGAAACGCATGAATGTTATTAGTTTATCAAATTAATCTAAACATCTGTCTTACCACTTTATTTGTCTGCTGCTTAGTAAATTACAAGATATATGATTTTTTGTAATTAGGGACTATTATAAACACTAGTACACTGTATAAATAGCTCTAAATTCGACACATCGGATTATCTCCAAAGTCAGTTGGTAACACTGCAGTCGATTTCAGTGTTACGACTACTTCCCGAGAAGAAAAGTTGTTTACAAAAAGACCAAAATATTTTGAAATCTGAGAATTCTTTACTAATCACTAAGCTTACCTTCACGAACTGGAATCTGTTCGCAAAATGACTGTCCATCTCCGCGATAACCAGACGGACAAATGCACCTTTCATTTTCACGATCACATATTGCATTAGGCAAACACAGTTTACAGTTCCAGTAGCAACTTCTTTCTCCGTCACCATCATAACCAGATCGACATTTACACATTCCTGTATATCGATCACATTCAGCATTCCTTATTCTACAGCCTCCACCACATGTTGAATCGACTGAAGGAGGTGGATAATTTTCTGTGCCACCTCCACTTTCGGGTTTGCACACAGATACGCCGTCTCCAGTGAAACCAGGTTTACAGTGGCATGAATATGCACCATTGAATTGATCATTTGGTCGACAGAGAGCATCACGATGACAGTTGTCTTGAATACATTCCATGCATACGCCTTGGTTCACTTTAATAAATCCACGTGCACAAACACACTGTCCCGCTACACACTGAGCAATTTCTTTGAAAGGTACTCCGTTACATGTCCCACAGCTTGGGGATGCTAGAATTAAAGAAAGAGTTGGCAGAAAAGCAAGAAATAAACTCATACGTATCCGTAGTCTAAATTCTTTAGAATGGTTAAAATATGATTCTATAGCAGTGAAAGAATAACCAAGAATTCAAAAGGATGTGGTTTTTAGTTAACTGTTTGAAGACGTTTTAAATATGCGAGAAATTATGGGTAAATAACCGATTTTATAAATGCGCTGGGATTATCAAGAGATTTTATAAGGCTATTCAAATGACTGTACACAAGTCTTAATGTAACAAACCACTATGTTGCTCGTGTTAAGATATCTTGAAAGGCAAACAGAACCATGAGTTTATTTGATTTAATCGTGTTCTTTGAGCTGGTTGGTTGAATTTTGACGCTCTCGTTGCCCATCTAGACAACATCTTTAGCTCAGCTTTTAGTGTAAAATGAACTTATTTGAATTCTTCATGAATTTATCTCCTGACATTCATTATCGTAAGTGGTTGGTTATTTAAGTTTTTGTTAATAATTTTTATTGACCTGGAATTTGAAAATCATGACAATGGTTGTTAGGAAATGAATTCATGGAGAATTCAAATTAGTTCATTCCATAATAAAACCTGTGCTGAAGATGCTGTCTAGAAGAACAACGAAAGCTTCGTAATTAAACCAACCGGCTCATAGTATACAGCTAAGTCAATATCATCCACTTGAACTGCATATCTTCCCCTTACCATGAGTTTACACTGAAAATGGGACAATCAGATTAAAGTGGTGGGCAAAGTTTTCTGATACGTTGGGATCCTTAACACACTTTTAGCATCATATTTATTAGCCATATGATGGTTCCTTAATCGTGGTGCAAACTGAGCACTTTTTATTTAGAAAATAAAAGAATTATACTTTAGACTACTTTTTGTGCGAAAATATAAGTTGTTATTCATGAATATCACTGGTTTTCCTCTCTTTATTTTACTGGGCTGCAGTAATTAGTCTCTGATGACTTGTGAGGTTCTAGGATGGACGCCATTATCTCAGCTTTACAGGACAACTAATTTTTAGGGTGATATATTTATGTCCTAATGAGAACATTGTCATTCAACGAGATACAAATGTATCTTTCTGATGCGTCCAAAATTGTCTAAAAATCACATTATGCATTCGCCAGCTGGATAACAACAACTAAATGGCATTTAAGCGAAAGTAATGGCTTTTCTTAAGTGTTTTTATTGGGAAACACGTGTTCCAAGTCAACCTATGGCTATGGTTTAGACCACTGTAAAAGTTTAATATTTTGTTTCGCTGTCTTCAAAGCCAATGATCATTTATTATGTCAGCATTTATTTGCATCAACTGATGAGTTGTGCAACCTACAAGTTCCTAAAATTTACCGATTCTCTTAGTAATAATGGTAAGAGAGTTATTAACTGAAGTAAGTACAATTCCTTATGATTACAGATACAAATTTTTGATAAGTTTCAAAAAGAATGAAACTGAAACAAAGCAGGACTTATTGTTGATTCAATTCCAGCTTCTAACATCCGATTTATTTCTCACTTTTGCCTAATGAAAAAAGACGAAAATTCTTGAGTACTAGATTAGAGTAATACGTTTTTATGTTGTCTTTCAGATTTCTGTGTACTATGTAGGTATGTGTGAGTGTTGAAGTTGTATGAGGTAAGATAACTCCCGTTACACGGGTAATCTGGAGGCTTCCTCTCAGAGCTGACTGCTTTTTCCATACTTGCTTTCCACTTTGTTGTATAAATATGCGCTTTTGCTTAAGTAGTATCCAAGTACATATTTTAGACTGTATATACATTGAAAACAACATGTGCAGTATCAGGAGGGCGCTGAACAAAAATAAGATCTAGACTTTCGTCATTAGGAAGACTGATAGATTACTTTATCATTACTCAATGAAGGCAAACTTATATTAGTATTAAAATACGAAAATAACCAATGGGTTCTAACAAAATCATGAGATGTCTATAGACATTCGGTGAAAGAATAACCATCGTCTTGCAAGTAATCTGTTTATGTGAATATTAAGAGAATCATTTGTTAACAGGAATGAATCTGGGATTTAAGTAACTAAGCTCTAATAATTCGAGTTTTGTTTAAATTTATTCCGTTACCATCCCATTTTGGTTCTATAGCATAATTATAGATGTATTAATAAGCTGTTTTTGTAAAGTGGTAGAAATTTATGCCAGCAAGAACAGTGGGTAGTTAAGAAGACAACACATACCTCCAGGTATTAAATTGCACACTTGGTAACCATCTCCTTCATATCCATCCAGACAACGACATCGGCCTTCGAAGCACCTAGCAAACTGGTGACATTGTTCTTCGCGACATTCTTCTGGTGCTAATATAAAAAAGTCACATATTATTCAAAGAAAGAAAGATTTCACTAAATTGGGATTTAGGAAACCATGCCACTTCGTTCACGTATTTTTAGCAGGTATTAGTAAGATGAAGCATAAAAACATAGCAGTGGATTAGTTGGTTAGTTTGTATTGTATAGAATAAAGACAAGTGTACGCAGGCTTACCGCGATTTGATGGTGTTAGTTACAAATGAAATTTTAATTCATTATAATCTATCAGTCTTAAGACTACTTATGCTTGTAGTAAGAAGCACTTGCCAACGTTCGTGCAAGCTGGTCCGAAAAACCTCACCGTCAACAAAAAGTTAACATGCTGTGAACCAAAAAGGGGTGAAGGGGTTGTAGTGAGCAGTTTGATAATCTATTAGTAGCAGTCATACGCTTACCATTTTTAATGGGCTGGCAATTCCAGTAGCCGTCTCCTTTATAACCATAAATACAACGACAGAATCCGTACTCACATTGAGCTTTCGGATGGCAACGCACCTGCTTACATGGATCTGAATTTATTACAAGTATTACAGTTATGTTGAATACAGCAAATATTTTTGCAAAAGCAATAAAAATTGCATTTTATTGATGAACAACTGAAATACCAGTTACAGTCATTTACTGGTCGACTTGCGGTACTTTTAAAAAATCAACTTTTATACAAAAGTCATTTATGTTGGAATAAATGTTCCTCATATCATTCTACAGTATTCTGTACAAAACCATTAAATTTACATAGATATCTTTTGCTTTCTATTGAATATGAGATCGTTTATTTATTATAGCCTCAATAATAATTGCATCAGAGTCCCAAGTAAACTTGTCTACACTAGAGAATCTTCGTGTTATCTCCCAGTTTCTGTCATTTGATCTTTTATACTTGGATAATATTTTCAGATGAATTTTGCTGGCTAATATTTACTCATATAACAAGAGACGCTTATATTAAAAAAAACTGTGATATAAATCTGTGCTAAATCACCGTCACAGCCAGAATTCTTTTACCGTATTCTAAGTCTCAGATATCATTCAGTCTAACTTCATATATTCTGTGTGTAAGCACTCATATTGGTGATATAACTGTTTAGTCAAGGCAAAAATAAAAACCACTGATAGCTAAAATGCATGGTTAGTTCGGTTTCCTTCTTGGGATTGCTGATTAACCTTATTACCATAGTTATCATTCAATAAATGTGTAGAATAGTGAGGAAGGTTAAAAGATCTCTTGTTAATGAGGTATCAACTGAATATATAAAAGTTGTTGAAAAGAATGAAGAAATACAGCAGTACTAAGGATATAATGTACAAATAAACTCTTGATATGCTTTTTTATTTTTGGAATAAACAGAATTCTAAACCGCAGGTAATATGTGCAATTATTTCAGGTTTTAGTAAATCAGAACGCATTCCTGAAAAGGTATGATTTATTTTACTTAATGTATTACTGAGAAAGAAAGCCATATTTCAATCAAATTTAAAAAGCTGTCAAGGTTAAAAATGTGGAAAATTCAATATATATATATATATATATATATATATATATATATTAAAATATGCAGCTACTAGAAGCACATAAAAAACCTGTAAACACGTAAGCAGGCAGCTGTGACAACTACTCAGGCACATAAATACTAGTAAAACAATTATTGAATAACATCAAATGAAACTGCATATAAGGGTCTTTTTGTCCTGATACCCACTGATTTATGCATTGCAGCTGTTTTACTTATAAATAGATTTCAAATACATGTACACAAACTAACGCAGAGCAAATTATTCATACTGACTTGCAAATTTTTGTCATGCAATGCCTATATTTACTCACCATTAGTTTTACGTCTACACTCTCTGTATCCATCACCCTCGTAACCTTCATTACAGTGACAGTAACCATTCTCACATCTAGCATTTGCATGACACTGGACACTGACACATGGATCTAAAAACATTAACATTTATCTTGTATTGATTTACTGTATTTGAAGTAAATATTTTCGAAATAAACCACGTTAGGTGAACATAAAGTGAAGGTTAGCTTATCAATGGCATGCATATACCAGCAATACATTAGTATTTGTATGAATTGTCAAAATAGCACTGAAAAACAGTTAAGTGGATTAAATGCTTGTCAAAAGGGCATACTTGTATTTTTTACAGTAAGTGCGTTTGCATAACTCATCATATGCCGGTTGATACATCAGAAAAGAGGCTTAAGCTATCTAGTAACTTCATGCATGTTTTCCTTGTGTTAACTGATAACTTTTTGACTCAAAAGTAACGTGAATTAAACAACGCTTGTTTTGAAAAGTCTGAGAAATTTTACGTTCTACTGGTGAATTTCACATACCTGTGTATTATTTCTAGACAGAGGTTAGACATATAAATTTACTGATACATGCTTTAATTATATTTTTGAATTAAGAAATAATCCGAACAGTTGGTGTGATCATAAGAAGTAATATTACCAAAATGAAAACTTATCATCTTGTGTAAACTATTGACATATAATTATAGTTGATTTGATTTATTCCACAATGCACAAACTTTTCAAGGAGTTTATTGTATTCATGGAAAAGTATTACACCCAGATTCATTTTAAGCCATTTTCGAGTGATGACCTTACTCGATGGTGTGAAAAATTTAAGTAAGTTCAAACTTCACTGTATATTCTGTGTTATCCGGCACTTATTAATTTCAGAATTAGTGGTATGTAGTCTTTCAAGTGTTTAAATAGGATAATAGGTATACCTGATGGTTTCTATGATATACAGATGGATATAAAGTGTTGGAAAGGAATGCTTACTCATGTCATTCTAATCACATTGTACTGAGTTCGATAGACAGCTAATTGTTGCGACGGTTAAAAACCGTACAGTTTATAAGCTAATAACAGATAATATTAGCCGTTATTATTTGAAAGTTTATCACAACTTTTTAAGACTATTACCTGAAAATCAATGGGACATTTTTCTAAAAAAACACTAAACTCCCAAAATATTTTCTTTTCCTTTGTCTTAACATTCACACAGTTCTAAAGATGAAATATAATAAATAATATTTAACTAAAATTCGATATGATAAAAAAAGATTGAACCTTAGTGATTCCTGAACACATCTAGGATAAAGTCGTAACTAAATATCATTCATTTATGCTCATATATTTGTAACATTATTTCTAAAGGTTTAATCTTGTGAAATGTTACTTGCAAATTACGTTCAGGTTCTCTCAGGAATAATTTATTAAGAGAATCTTGACTCTATGCATTCATTACGAGAATAGACGATACAAATTTTTCTAACACTTGTTTTCATAAAAGAGTTTTGGGTTGGGTTATGGGAGAATACACATTCAAAAAGTAGTACTAAAATGTAGCAAAATCAGAACGCATACGCACATATATGCATAAAGCTATCACAGAAAAAACATGCAACACAAATTCAGGCTACTTGCTCTACCTTCAGTTTTTCTTCTACACTCGTAATATCCGTCTCCTTCATACCCAGAAGGACAGAAACAGTAACCATCAGTACACTGAGCATCTGGATGACATCTCATTTGGGAGCACTTATCTGTTAGTAATAATTCATACAATTTATTATTAGATACAAACTAATTCTGAAAGTTTAGCCTAATGCGTTGTTAATAGACAGATTGTAAATTACAAGTGTTCACTCTGGTCAAAATATTTTTGATGATCTTTATAGAGTCTATGAAGTTTACTGCACGTTCACGTATTCAACATATAGTGAGATTCACTTGATTTTATATGGTAAGCTCTGAGATTTTATAATCGTTTCAAATAATTTAGAAATGATAATGACTAATCATATTCGGAACTTCTTTAAAACTTAATCTGCATGAATACTTTAAATGGCGGAGAGTGGTTTATCTATAAATGAAAAAATAACGACAGACTTGTTTATATTGTAAATAAAACTAGACAATCCTAGGAGAACAAGGAAAGATTTTGGATTTGCACGAATTCCCCAGAAAGATTATGGATAACAGTTTGTTTTGTCTAGCAAATTATAATTGCTTTTCCCGTGTATGGATGGGAAAATCTAAAACCTAGAGCTATACTCTGAGAAATGTTAAAAGTATAATCAAACGTGCGAGAATATTAAAATTCTAATTTGCATTCTGTTAAAATGAATATATAAAGAACTTTAAAGGAGTTTAAATAATAATTTAAACTTTAATTGTTCAACAAAAATGGAGTCTCTGGTTAAAATACATCAATTTTTTACCTTCTGTGGCTTGTCGACACTCTGAGTATCCATCTCCCTCATAACCATCCATACAACGGCACTGTCCACGATCGCATCTAGCGTACTGATGACAACGAATATTTGCACATAAATCCACTATTAAAAAAAGATGTGTAGATTAAAATACTTCAGATAATAGGGTGAATTGACTGATATTCAAACATAAGATATTTGAATTCACCTTTTTGGCTATTAAAATTCATTAACATTTGACAAACCTTTATGATTTCTTGGACTTTTCGTTTTATATGACTAAAAAGATTGGGATCTGTTGGCATACGAACTCTTAGAATGATACGTTTAATCTTGGTTAGATGTTATTCATTAGATAATATAGCTGATAATGGAATATAGGCAAGCGTCTCGTCTCATTTCACATATGCGCACTAGCTTCCAGTGGTATTCCATTTTGACTAGAACCTACTACCTGTGTTTTTATACGTCATAAAGTGATTCATTATTCTACTGAGCTATTAGTTTCAATAAATAACAAGTAGCACTGATTAATAGACAACGTTCTAGGACTGAGTACAATCAGTACTGCGTTCGAGCCTCAGTGAGGACACTATTACGGTGTGATGCAAGTATATCCAGATGATCACTTATGTGATAAAACTTGTGAAGAGGAAATGTGACGTCTGAATAACATCAGGTGTGATTGTTTTGTTGAATATTTTAACTCTGTTTAGACGTCGATTTACTCCTTTTTAAGATAGGGAATTAAGTTGTGTTGATTTATGGGTTACATTCTCATTGAATTCCTAATTTTACCTTCCGTTGTCCTGCATTCGTTGTAGCCATCCCCTTCGTAACCAGGATTGCATACACACTGACCATCCTGGCAGCGTCCATTGTTAGCACAACGGATTCCTTCACATGGATCTAGGAGGAAGTATTTTTAAAACACAAACAAAAATATAATGAAAATCGACGCTAATTTGTACAAGCAGGCACCTCATTTCCAAATATACCTAAAGCGTTATATATACATAAGAAAATCGATACACTGCAGGAAGAAAGTAACACAGATTATAGTATACTTTGTGCAATGTTGATCAACGGACAGGTTACAGCAGGGTATTCAGTAATTAGTAATTTGTAAATATCTGTCCTAGTAGCCAGCTTCATATGATTAGTTATGTGAAGCGAGTACCAAAACGTGAGTGAGGTTAAACTGCATGCCTGCATTTCTTCCTTTTCTACTGTTGCTGCAACTTAATCTATTTAACCAAAATCTCAGCTTCCATTCAAACTACTTGAACTCTTTTCTTCATTACACTACACAATCATTTTGTTTTCTAGAATTACTGAATTACTACCCAATGTATCTATAAAAACAAACTGTTTCACCGTCTTTCTCTTCCTAGGGGGAAATCATACTCCGTGTTTCTATACATTCAAATATTTTATGATAATTTTAGTACTGTTTTAATCACGAGTTGGAGAACTATTGGAAAACCCGGGAGCACTGGACAGCAGTATCGTCCTAATTTGGGGCTCCTCACAGTACACACCCACTGGGACTCGAACCCAAGACTTTCCAACTACAAAGTGAGCTCATAGACCATTCGGCCGCTGGGACCCAATGACCCATGAATTCCAAATTCTGCCGATTCGTGATATATACAGCGCAACCACCAGTCATTTTCATTGGTGAGTAACTGTTCTCTTACTTGACTTGGTGGACCCGGTTGGTTACGACTTCTCACTAGAACTCCAGGTAATTTCCTGCATAGGGCAAGTCGCTAGTGTGCTAGTAGCCATCAATTCTCACTGAAAATATACAATAAATTTAGCGTATATCATTAATTCAACTTTTGCTTCACTGTTTTAATACTTATGTCTTGTTTCATTACTTCTTTTCATGATTTTATTGTAACTGTAACACTTCAATGTTCACTAAATATTTAATTAAAACAAGACAACAGGAAGATTTAATAAATAATTGAATTCAGTGAAATCACTAATAAGTCATACATTATCCAGCATAAAGTCCAGTGCCTAGTTTCCCATATATTATGTGATGATTTATGTTGTAATTCTTGTTTGAGAAGTTAAACTTTAACGTCCTAAAGAAGTTTCTCGAATTTGATCTAAAATTTTTTATATATAATCAAAAGTCAATTTGTTTTATTTCGTGTTTATTTAGATCTTAGCCAGTTCACATGATGTTCTACAGAATGTAAATCTTTTTCTCAAAATATAACTAGAAGTGACTTTCACTTACACCGGAAGGAGTTGTCTGATAATAGTCATTAAGTTCATTAATGTGAGACTTTGGCTCACTGTTTCCATGCTAGAAATCAAAAGCTGACTGACTAAATACTAAAGTAACCTCTTGTGATATATCTTAGTGTTCTAGTTTCCTTATTTTAGGGAATCATTGACAGAATCTAATCGGGAACTAACTGATTAGAGGTGATTCATCAACCTCAATACAGGATTAACAGAACAACTTCTGTTTGATTTCTTTTTGATCGAATAGTTTTCGCATAAGACTGTGCATAGCTTTTTTCATTTCTAAACTGCTTTTGTTTTTAGCAGTAAGTTTGATGCATGAATTTCGTTTAAAGCAAATATACTAGTGATTCTGTTTTAAAAAATTAATCCAGATGCATTTTTTTCTAACGATTCAATGAACTGAATAATACTGTTTCTCCTACCTAAGCATCTCATCTATACACACATGGTAAATCTTCAAAACCAAAAAAGTGCTTACCTTCTGTGCGAGCATCACAAAAGTTCACGCCATCACCAACATAACCATGACTGCAATAGCATCGATTTTCATAACACTGTCCAAAACGATGACACTGAACACCTGCGCACAGTTCTGTGATAATTAAGATTGATGTGTAAAACAGTCAGTCAGTTTTTTGTCTACATTTGTTAAATTGAGATCTTCATTTTAAATTCAAAAGTCAAAATAGTCGATATAAGGCTCTGAGTAAATTGTCACTTACCAAATACCTGTAAATTACACTCTTGTTTTCCCTCCAAAATGAAATTACTCCGGAAAAGTATGCGTTTCGTTTAACACAGTTTCAAAATGGTGAAAGCAAAAGACATAATAGCTAGTTGGTATTCAGATGACGCTAAGAAATCAATATCAGAACTTTATTCATCCACAGTACTTCACTCCTCAAAACCACGAATACACTGACCCGTATTTAGATTTCACTGCCTTAAATAACGAGTTAACTGATCAAATAGCTTAAGACTGCCTATTTCATTCAGTAATATATAGTTAATATTTAGTAATATATACTTATAGTTAACCTATTTATCTGCTTAATGAAGCAGGAGAGATAACACCTGTGCGTTAACATATACGTGAAGAAAACCAAAGTGAATAAGAACTATCTGGAATGCACCAAATTAAAATCACATACTGAATAAATTTTGAGATGAAATAATATCTTCAGATATGATTAAATGTCTCTTCTATATTATTCTCACTATTGTTCTTCATAGTGAGATAAGGAAGACTGTTATAAAACAGGTTTATTAAATTTAACATTTAAATGTGTATGGCTTGTATTTATATTTTGATCAACTGTCTAGAAGTTATCGTCGAACAGTTAAGTGGGTAGCAATTTGAATAATAAATATCAGAAAGATTGAGCAAAGAAATATTTACTTTTCAATTAGATCCTCATCTCAGGCTCTACTCTAATATATATAGCATTTTTATTACAACACCATTGATGCATTATACTGGATAGAAATTTGAGTAGCCCACTACAGTTGTAATAAAAATTCTATATATCTTAGAGTAGATCCAGAGATGAGGATCTAATTGAAAAGTAAATATTTCTCCTGTCAATCTTTCTGTTTTCTAAATGTCTAAATGGGGATTTTTTCTATATTAATAAATATCAGATCATTAAGAAGTAGTATGAGTAAATGTGTATACTTTTCTGAAGAGGTTTAAAGTAATCTCAGACGTTATAATTCTGCTAAATGTGAACAATATTCCTTCTTTTGTGCTATGTTACGTAAAAACTCAGTTTTGTTTTATGTTTACTTTAGAAGAATTGTAAACCTTTATATAATTTTATAGACGTTTCATTTTAGGAATATGAATTTACTTCAACAAAAATGAATAAAAATTTGTTTATTAGACTAGTTTGTGTTGGATCGGAGTATACGAGAGAAAACCAAACAGTGCTTTAAATGGGAGCTCGCCCGAAATCTGATTACTCAATTATTACGAAAAATGCTTTTAAAAATACGAAAAAAGTGCCATAATGTCTTCTGAAAGCAGTTTCATCACAAACTGACGGCATCTGTTTGTTTTCCACTGACGTATTTGTTAACGGTATCATCTGAGACAATTTTCCTTTCAGAGACTGTGAGATAAGCGATGATCCATCTGTCGTCATTTACATGAAAACCAGGGAGGACAAATAGTGACTGGAGTAAAATTAAGATCTGGTTGATAGCTGAATCTAACAACTAACTCAACAATTATCTGACCGACATCCAAGACGTTTTTAGTTTAAATTCTGCTCTCTTTTCAAGCCTGCTTATGCCACCACTTTAGTCATTTGTCTGTTTCCAAATGGTATGTTTTCATGAACACGTTACAATAGTTTCATCAAGTTTCGTAACTCATGTGCAATTTACAGTCAGTGAACGGTTGCATATTTTGAGAAGTATGTGAGGGAATAAGACTTTGTAAATAGATTAAATTTATTGACGATGACAGGATGAGTGTCTTAAAGTTATTATTATCATTATTATTGTGAGTGCTGAAATATGTAAACTCGAAGTGTAATAAGTTATGCACTTGCAAAAATACAGTTGTTATATGAAATTAAAAACAGTACTGAAATATTGGTAGATAATCTAAGTAACCCTTATAACTTTACAATTGTAATCTGGGAACATCTATGGAGGTAATTGAGAAATATTCAAGAATTTCAGTCTTCCGAATTACATAGTTTCATGTTTGGGTTAGTAATGCAAATAAATAAATAATCAAGCAGATATCAACAATAAAAAGGACAAATCAAACAGGGCTAACGTAATTCTGTGGTGTTTTTCCACTGAGTAAAATACAAGTAAGAGTTTTACCAATAAATATAGAATAAAGGATACTGGAATAGTTTTGTCGGCCGTAAGAATAAAACTAGCCTAAATCCTGTTTTCTGTATAAGAAAAAACCTCAACGACAACCACCACTTCGCTGACAGCCTAATTCCAAAATACACAGATTATTTGTTCACTTGTTGATGGTAATAACTTTAATAGATTTAATTAACTTTCACTCACACCATAAGTCGCTACAGATTTAAATATCCTTATTTTACTATAGAGAGTATACAGCAGATTATTATATAACCGAAATTATCTTAATTAGAAACTTTATTTACATCAATTTTCACAGGTAACAAGGGTATGAAACGGTAAGAAACGCTTCTTCGAATTTACCATGTGCTTTATGAATAATAAAATGTAAAGGAATATCAAGTCAGTCATGTTTCCTTGGGAAAATTTGACTTATACGAAGTTTTCAGGACATTAACATGCATCCAACCGATGCTCCTGGTAGGTTGAAACTCAACTCTGAATTAACAATACTAACAAAGCAAATTTATTCTAGACAGTATGTTAACACAATAAAGAATTCTCAGAGTATATAAAAACAGAATTTTTACTCTTCGCTCATGATCTTCACGAAAAAAGCATCTGACAGTATATCATTTGGCATATCGTTAAGTTGAAACCTAATTAATGAAGCTCTCGAGTTTGTGTTGCAATACAAAGGCATATTTGAATGATTAAAACAATATGAAATGTAGAAGAGTTGATGCATTATTCTGGATAGAAATTTGAGTAGCCCGGCCTCTGATAAATGAATATAATAAGCAGTCAGAGCTTTGTTCTGTATTATTCACCTGTAGAAATACCTAAAACAATATGAATTACTTTATATAATACGAAGTTTATGATTAAATTGAGATTAACTGTAAACTGATTATTCCTTAATTATTTGCTGATCGTTTCACATATTTTAAGCAAGGCTTAAGTGAGTTTTTCTGTTCATATTTGTAGTACATTTTTAAATACTGAAACTTTCTTATCACAGAATAACTTTATTTGATAAAAGCAGTGAAACAGTATTATTTGCTGATGACCTTACCAGCACAGTTTATTACTCATAAGCATACTTATTTATTCACGTAATTTTTAATCTTTATCTGCATAATTCCACTATTTCTTATACTACATAGATGAAAGCAAGCAGATCAGAGTCAATGAATTTCTCAGAACGTAGAAATTTAACTAAAGGCGGGTGCGGGGAGAGTGGAGCTGATCAACGAATCTTTGTCCTTCTAGTCTACATCTGACACGTGCAACAGGAATGATGTAACACTAATACCAAAGATACTAAAAATATTACTACCAATTAAATCAAAGGATAAAAAATAATGGGGCTATACAAAAAATTTTGAAGGTTATGTGACGGCCTTGAGATGGTTATGAGCAACAAACTGTGATCAAAACACCGTCAGTAAATAGTACTGTATCACTGTGATTTTTTACCAAATGAAATTATTCTTTGATGGAATTATATTCTGCCATAGTGTCCAAGTTCTATTTTGGTATTATTGAAACTATATGCTCTACTTATTAAAAACAAAAATGTACTATTATAATTATGGAAAAATCATTGTTTAGTAATATTATTAGCTGAAGTGAAATTAAGTAGAAAATAGAAAATTAAATAGAAAAAAATAGAAAATACAATAAACCAAGGTGGAGAAATTAAATTAAATTTCGTATTTGAACTAGTAGTTGGAATTCTCGGAAGCTGAATTTAAATAATTTTCCGTTCTAACTATTGCATCTGTAACCCATTTTAGATAATATGTCTTAAACTGTATCCATGCAGTGAACGTTTCTGGTTTAATCACATTTCGCAGGTACTTCAGTGACAAAGTGACAAATCCAATTCATCATTTTTTCTAACTCATGTCTAGGGTTATACGCCTGCTGTTTATGATCACGTGAAAACTGTCTCAGTCAAAAATAATGTATGTCGATATAAGTTAATTAAGTTTTTTTCTTGAGTCATCTTTACATCTAAAGAAAACCAAATTTCACTGAGATCTATCTAGCCATTTGTTTGTGAATGTTCTTTTCCAAAATACTTATTCTTATACACGAGTAACACTTATCTTCTTTTGAAGTTTACATTTATGAGAACCATTTATAGTTAAAACAATGTCTATTTGTAAACCATATTTTCATGTAAACGAGATCTCTGCAGTATTTAAAATCCCTTAAGATGTACATATTTGTAAACACAAAGAATGTTGATAATATACAACGATACATTCACTTAACTTACCGTGTGAATTAGACTTGCATTCATAATATCCATCACCAGAATAACCATAACGACAGTGGCATTCACCTTTTTCATTACATTCTGCATTTTCGTGGCATCGAACATTTTTGCATGGGTCTTAAACAACATATGTATATTATAGTGGTAAGAATATAGTTTTTTTTATCTCACTGGATCTTAATGTGCACTTTACTATTAATTGGTCTTATAGGTTGTTAACTTTACGGATGCATCTAGTTATACATGCAGTTTAATAGGAGGGATTCAATCACTAATTTATACAAGTGCAGTCATGTATTTTAAATGAAACAGATACATGCTGTTAGAATTCTATTCATAAGGTTATTCACATTCAGATATTAATTAATCCAGGAAAATTAACAAATGGCTTTCCAAAAATGTTAATTGCAAGAAGAGACGTCTATTTATTGTATCCAATTCGTAAGACTGTTATCCTCATACCTACGTATTAAGAATATAATGGAATCGAAGCATTCATTAGTCAGAGGCAAGAGACTAACATCATGCTGTGTAGTTTTTAATTCAGACTAAATTTTGTCGGTCGTATTTGTAATGCAGTCACGAATTTAGGAGACTTCATTTTATGATTGACTGTGCATTACCGTTAGGTGGTTAAAAGTAATCAGCACATGGCCGTGAACATAGGTCTTGTGCCTATTTGTGCCTGTCAGTATAATCAATATATATCTAAACTAAAAGCACAGGGTATCAGCAATTCGCTGAACAGCTCGATGATGAATTCTGAGGCTACGGGACTAAGTAACACTACTTCCAGTATCTCAATAAGACTGAGGCTGGAGATGGGTTTCACTGATGCGTGCCAATGATCCGAAAATAAATGTCAGTATTTTATTGCTGATTACCTCCAACAATCATTTGTCAATTTTGGATAGACAACAAATAACAACCTTTTTCTAAACTGTTGCTTCATAAGAAGTCTATTAATTATGGTAAAACATAACATGAAGTGTTCAGTATGAAAAAATGTTGCTTATAAAAAACAAAACTGATTTATAAACATCAAAGTGACCCAGTAAACCGACATTACTTGTTCAATTAAAGTACAAGAAGGGTAAGTATTGGATAGCATTCGAGGTAAAACAAAACAATGGTGCATGCAATAATTAACAAGCAAACATGTCGTTTTTTATTCAGGCTTACAATGGGAGTAACTTATCAAAGTTTAACAATGCTATTTTTAATTTCCTGAAGGACAGCTAATCAACGTATGGAAAAAGCCAAACTGTTGTAAGAAAACGAGGTATGCTTACATCACCAAAAAATTCTCACACATCATTTTAGTAAAATTTTCCTGAAATTTTGTGTTTTCCTTCTAATACTCGAAAATTCTTCGGCAGACATGCAAGCATTCGCATGCTATTTTATAGTATTGGGACCTAACATATAGCATTTCCTTTTCTAATATTTGTTTTCAAATCTTACCACGTTTAATTGGTGAACATTCCCAGTAACCATCTCCTTCATAACCTGAATTACACTGACATCTACCGTCGTAACATGTTGCAAGTGCGTGACAGCGAACGCTTTGGCATAAATCTGTTAAAATGGAATTTATATTAATGTTAGGCTAAAACCTAGCTAGCTTACTATGTAGGTGACACTTACATGCGTTGGTAGAATTTTCATGCTGAAGCTAATTAATACTAGTATGTTATACAAGTTATATATATTTTTTGGTTTTTTATAATTGCGAAAACAACAATAACTCTGAGAGTGTATATGTATATGATAAACAAAAATCTTTCCAGAAATCATTGATTATGAAATGGTATTCGTTTTCTGCCTTCTGAACTGATAATAGTATTCATACTTATTTTGAATTTATGGATATCTGTATAAAGTTCACAGTGATGGAGAAGATATGTAGCTCAGGTGGATGATTTTGATTTGGTTGTGTTCTCTGAGCTGGATAGTTAATTTGCGAAGCGCAGACTTCAATTTGAAGTCTGTTGACTAGTAGGGCAATGAAAGCTTCGCAAATTAACTATCCAGCTCAGAGTACACAACTACATCAAAAAAGTTCACAGTATGTATTAGTTAAATGTCGATGATTATCTTACTGAGTGGAAAGATGGTAACATAAATTAACAGAAATAACTTTGTAACTTTTCTCCTAATCTTAAATTTTTCATCACTTTTATTTTATTTTTTTCCACTGCTGCATTATTCACTTTTATCATTTATTATTTCTCAGGGGTTTCATGCTTTATCCAACTTTGTTGAAAACTTTTAAATGGACGAACACTTTACCTATAAACACGTTGAGGTTTATTTCGTGCAATGTTATCAAATCAATATATTAGGTTTGCTAAAAAAAGAGGGACATTCGGTTCTTTTCTCTACTCTGAATGTGCGAACAGTTTTCAGAGAAGAAATACCGGTTAAGATTAGTCCATATCGATATAACAATAAAATTGATATTAATAAAATTTACGCAATAGATAAAGTAAATTCTATTTTTTAATCATGCAACATTAGAGATATATTAAAATAAAGTTTATTTGTAGGAAATAATCTTTGTTAGTATAGGTAAACATGTCTTTATTTTATGGCTATGCACCATTTGTTTCAGAGTAAGTTTAGTGTAGCTCACTTTATAAGATCTGAAGCAACTTAACTTACCCCATTTACATTCCCAATAACCATCACCAATAAAACCTTGGATGCATTGACATTTGCCTTCATAACACTCACCATATTCATGACATTGTATATTGTAGCATAAATCTAGTAAAAATGGACGATTTGTTCTCCTTTACTGCATTGGTTTTAATATTGCTTTTTAAGAAGGGAAAATGAATTCTTTCCATGTGCATTTTAAACAACTGAATAGGAGGTTTATGCTTTTATACAGTGCGTATTAGCCTGTCAACAGTTGCCAGATAAGGTTTTAGAAAACAATTTTAAGCCTTCTATGGTTCCACATATCTAAACCTAGTTTTTATTTTATTTCATGTATTGGATGTATAAACCCTAAGCATAGTTCGTTACAAATGGGTTGATCTTCAAAAACATCAGCTACAATTAATCAATCAAAGGAAGTCTCTAGATAATCTTAATGATAATAATTTAGTAGCATAATTAACAAAACCAATGATTATTTATCTATTATTTTTAATTTGGAGTAAAATTCCACCCCCCAGAGATTATTTATAAAAAATAGTTCTGATGCAACTCAGTGGTAATTTACGCAGCTATCTTCTTTCAGCCCGTGAAGACAACTATCATTTAATGGCTATGAAGATATGGCTAGTGTTTATGTTACAATTAAGTAAGAATAAGTGCAGATTTGTGCAAAATGAACAGACTTTAGTTTCAGTTACTTTATACTTTCTTCGAACATTACGGTTCCATAAGTAGATAAGCTGTAGAGTATACAATCTTTTTTGTGATAATCATTATACCTCGACAATGTATATCTCACCACGGCATATATTTGTAGGTAGTGATCAGTCGGATTGGCAGTGAGGAACAAGAAAAAGCCATGGACTCATAGTTTATTGATGGACGTTTAAATTAAATTATCTGAAGGCATCAAATACGGCTATTTTAGACATCAAGTACAGGACAATCACGTTACAACACGGGTATGTTACCATTCACTTGCCGATTGGTAGCCAAATCACAAATCATTTCCAACTGCAGCTTATCTGTCATACAGCTCAACTAATAACATGAATTCGGTTACCACCAAACTATTACTTCCTTTGTCAAATTGAATGTGAGCAGTTAGTTACTGCCTTACATATCTATAAGAACTACATTATAAATCTGACAGTCATTAAAATCAATTGTGGAGAGGAAAATGTTAGATAAATTAAATTCTAGAGACATTAACCTCAAGATCCCATTTGAAATCGCGTTGATTATCGTTTTAAACTAAGAGTTTATTAAATAAATTTTATTCAAAAGATGGAATATACATATAAGCCTTGAAGTTATTTTGCATAGCAAAGAGATGAAACAATATACATATATTTACATACTTTGTTAGGTTATAGTTAATCTTTCGATGCAATTAGTTTTGTTGTGTATAGGTTCTGAACGTGTTTTATAGCCTTCAACTTACCCCATTTACAATCCCAGTAACCATCACCTTTAAAGCCTTCAATACACTGACATCTACCGTTACTGCATTCAGCATATTCATGACATTTTATGCCAGTGCATAAATCTGTTTCAAGAAAATACATTATTCAGCTGAGCTCATATGCTGCTTCATAAATAATTACTTCAGAATTTATTCATAAAGAAAAATAATGGCTTTTGAAGAAGAAATGGATAAACTATTTGCCCACATGAAGTCAAATATTCCACTACACATAACATAATTTATTTATGATAACATTATGCTGTTGAGAGATTACGATTGTCTTAAAATTGCAATGACGTTTAATTTTGTAAGTTATAAACTTTAAAAATTATTGCAACAAATACTTTCAATTACAGTTAGAAGATATCAGGTACCGCGGTGACTATAAAGCAAGCATAATATTATCCAGACTAAGTTTTCAACTAACAGTTTAATTCAGATCTGTAAGTTTGTTACCTACCTGAGAGATTTAAAGTTATAGTAATTTTTGTAGATTTTTTGTGGCAGTTAGACTGAAGTTTTGTTTTTTTGACATTATTCAACTTCATAAACCCATAATTCACGAAGGTGAACTGGTTAGTGAATTTTCGTCCAACTCCTCATTTGTTTCAGTAATGTTACGATAAATTAGTTGGGTTTCATAAATTATTTTACTAAGTATATTTTCCTTTCTGTGTATTTGGTTTCTTATAGTAGATAAATAACATTTTCCACTGATGCAAGACAACCGAGTAACTCGCCCAAAAAAAGTGGAAATATCAATCAATCAGTAACTACTTGCATTTCCATCCATTTCTCAGTGGATCACACCTATTTTATGAAGACTGGCTGTCCAAACCTCTCTAGATGGGTCACGGTTCCAACTCTTAACCCGGTGTCAGGAAATCGAGCACCTAGACCAACAAACCACACCTCCATGGTGACCTGGCATCTGTAGGGTGACAAAAGTTACAATTACTGTGACATTATAAAGAATGAGTATCAGGCCACTAGAAATCCAAACCGCTTGTATTAGTATATACATTCCTATATATATTTGATTGGACACTAGTCAGTAATCAGTGTAGTCCTATCTTTTGGTGCAGACTGAATTCTATCAGTCAAGTTTGCAATGTGGCCACCATGCTAGGTGACTCGCCATCACGGTGCACTGTGAATTATTGATATTAGATGGTTGGAGGCAATCGGCATTCATATATGCATATATAAATGTATAAAATGTAAATTATATTCGACAGACAAACAGTCGTAAATCGGATCGTTCTTTGTTCAGTCTTTGTGATGAAATGAAGAATCTTTAGCTCTAACTTTTAATATTTTTAAATATATTTTAATTTGATAACACTCAAGGTAGATAGTTAGTTGCTAACACGAAAAATGCTAGCACAAAAAACAAAAGTTAGTAAACTAGTATTATTTCACTGAAAAGTTATAAATAAGAACTATAGTATGGTACTAATTCCTTCAATAAATAAGTAAATAAGGTGATATGGTTTACCATCTTTAGGAGGATAGAATTAAAGACATTAGTATATGTGTAGTAAATATTATGATGAACATAATTCACAGAAAGTTATGGTAGAAAAATACCTGTATATTTTAAGAAAGATTTGTATTTCAGGATGTAACGATTTAGTATTTAGTCATAAACTTTACTCTGTCGAGGAAGGTAGCTTTATTAGCACTCACTGCCTTATCAAATGAAAGCTGATGAAGTCGTTTAGCCTGGCGATGAAAAGTTTAGGGTTGAATATCAGAGTTGGAAAACTACTGAATAAATGTGCATTAATAATAAACACAACAAGAAATTCATAAATAATAATAGCTGTGGGATTTTTTTAAAGAAATAATACCCCTAATGTTATTATAAATAATATTAGAGGTGCTCTGTTCAGAGCGTAGTGTCATATGTCAGTGTTTAACATTAAATTTGATTAAAGAGATGAAGATAATGGGCTACATACTAATGGAACTTAATAGTTATAAATAGGCTCGACAGACACCATTATAAAAATTACTTATTTTTGGATGTCTTTTACAAGCTTATCTATCATGTATCATTCAATTAACCATCTTATTATATTCTCAGTAAGGAATTATATATATGACAACTGTGTTAAGAACATATTTCCTTTCTAGGTATTTTTGAGTGGAGATCATTGATAAGACTCTTGATATTAATATTAACCAGTATTACTGAATAAGTCATTAAAAGATCTTGAACTGTTGGATGAATTCAAGTTTTCGTCATTCACTGCAATCTAAATATTTTCCTTAGGATGAAAAGTTTGAGAATGTATATACAGTTACTGGTGAGCTTTCAGTAATATCTTCCTTAATTCAGAGATCACCTCCTATATTCAACTACTTTTATTCTACTGTAATGTATCAAATGAGATTTATAATCGAATATAATTCTGTTTTAAAGCAGATATTATTAGGCAAAACTTGAATACACTTGTTTTCCTCGCCATCTCATGAAGTCAATGTTTTTGCCCTGTAAGCAGCTGAAGAGAAGGCGACGAAATAAAATATGGTACCATTTTATTCTGCAAAATCTGTAGTTGTTGCTTTGTTTAAACTTGTTTGTTTTACCAGCGATTACAAGCATTTGAAGTAATACAATTAATTCAACAACCAAAAAAAGGGATATATGTTTGAAAACAACGTTATTAGTAGTACAAATATTTGGTTCATATATATATTGTGTTAGATGTTAGTATCGGTCTTGTGTTTAGTTTTGTTCTATTTCACAAAAGCCATCACTTTAGATACTTACCCCGTTTACATTCCCAATAACCATCTCCAATAAAACCTTGGATACACTGACATTTACCATTGTAACAGTCAGCATATTCATGGCATTGGACATTACGACATGGATCTAATAAGAAAATAATTGTATGTCAAACGATTTTCAGTGATGAAACTGTTAAATTTTTAACAGATAGAGTTTTAGTGCATCATTTGACACAGTATAGCTTAAGAGAGTAATTTTGACGATACTGAGTTCATTAAGTCCGAAGTTATAATCCTTACTGTCCTACCATTCTCGATCGAATCTCCAGTATAAGGGGTATGCCTAAATCAAATATCATGTCTCAGGTTATCAACATAACCTTCAAAATCGGATATAAAAATTTCTCACAGTTTTTAGCTGGTGACATGGTTTCAAATGAAAGTCTCAAAGTTGAACCACTCAACTCAAGAAACAAACGAAGTAAGGTAGAATTCTTTTTTGAGCTTCCTGGAAAACAAGTATAATTAGGTCACTATTTTATCATATTATCTAAATGAAGATTACACACACAAATTAGGTTAGTTTTGATTGCTAATATAAGCTTATTTAAATGTTAATGGTTTTACTAAAATTTAAAATTGGGCCTACAATAATTTAATACTTTTATGATTGATATTATTATTTTGATTTTGCAGCACTAGGGTTAAATCATTACGTTTCCATTCAAAATGATCAAATCAGGTTACTCTTTCCCAGTATACACTCAATGACACCACGTTATATATGATACTTTCCTTACTAAATACAAATGTCTATTTGGCATAAGAAATTATGTTTACTCCCTATTTATATCAAAGCTTTTAGCATAAATTAGAGAAAAATGATACAGAGACTTACATTATTGAAATTAAAGCTTTTTAGGTTATTTAAACAAGTGTTGTTATCAGATCTATATCGGATTTGTTATAATATGCATAACTGTCCTATTTCAGATGATAGTTTAAGCATTTTTGATATATCATTTTGTTAATAAAAAGATATAAGTTCATTGTAGAGGTGTTCAGTTCCACTTTCCTTTTATGAACTACGCATTAGTTTTATATTAGTTCTGACTCCTAAGTGAGCTTAATCATTTGACTGTTTGAAATTCTAGTTTTCATATAATGGTGTATACAAGAATTTCTCAAGTCAAATTTAGAAACTCAAATGGTTACTAAGTGAGACAGTCTATCCACTATTTTTCGAAACACATCTATGAACTATAGGTGACACTGAAACATAATGAAATGAAACCACTGATTTCACCGCAAACCGACCTAAATGAATAAGAATTTAAATAGTAATATCTGAGATCTTAAACACACTTATTTTGAAAAGTGAAGAATGTTACTTGGATGCATGGCTTTCAGGTGAACAATCAATAATTTAGTGTAGCACACGTGGATCCATAAACAAAAAGGAAGTGAAAAAAACTCTCATATGACTTTAAAACAAGCAGGGTAGTACACAGTCATCCTTAAGACCTGTGTATTGTTTGCACAAATACACTCAGATTGGTATGCTCAGTTAGACTTGTCTGGGACTGGGGTCAGGTACTTCCCAAATTGCTGAGGCACCCGCTCAGTAGTGTTGAGAAAAACAAGCTTTGAATAAGAATTAGTTCTTCCAGTAGCTTCATCAAGTTTTCTTTAGACCACTTCTCGTAAATTTCCTAAAAATTGCTGATTGACATATACAGGCTTCATAGAACTTGTAGAACAGTTTTACTGACCCTAATTTCGTTAGAATACTTATTAATAAGCTTATCAGGAAGTCTTTCTATAGTTTGTATTCACCTGTGACTTTAGAACCGATTTTCTGTACTATACTGAACAGCATTCTGGCTAGGTTCTTTTGTACTGAAAAAAGATTAAATCATATTTACTGTCCCATCCATGGAGGCTTTCTGACTATGGATCTTTCTGCTATACCATCAGCCCTTCTCACTAGAGAAGCGTGTAGCTCCTAGTAGCATAATATTCCTCATGCTCTACTGTAAAGTTATGCTTTCGATGGTATGAAAATAATTTCGTCATTAAGTTTTCCAAGTCTACTTTACTCTAATAGACAACAAAAATGTAATCTACACATCTTAAATTCAATTTTTTCTGTTGTATATACTGTGTCAGAGTGCTAATTTCAAGATGTGACAACAACAAGTCTTCAAAATATGGCTTAAATAGGCTTTCCATCGCAACACCATTAACCTGACTTAACAAATAGCTATCAGATTGAAACGGAACATCTTTAGTACTTTCTTGACTTTGCTATCGGAAGAGGTATATGATTAGCCTCTTCATACATGAGGTCGATGGTCTAAATGACTGTCCTATTTGTCAAAAGACAAATAACATAAAATAAAACATGATGCTTACCCGTAACTTAATGATCAGCAGTCAATATTGATAAACTAGGAGCAATGAGAGACAATCTATAGTTTTTAAACGTTATCGTAGAGACTACAGCAATTACCATAGCAACTAGACTCATTTATGATATTACAAATTCATCATTGAGATTAATGGTCATAAAAGAGCTTCTATATTGTGTACTTTGCCACAGCTGTGTCATTTCAGGATTTGCGAACCAATAGATTTTCACATTTCTGAGAGTATTTTGATCACTATGTCTCTTTTTGAGTTGCTGTTGTAGATAACTAGTTGCTTACCACAGTAACACAACTGAACTGTAATCCATCACAGTGTTAAGTTCCTGCCTCTCATATTCTTTCACCTCCTATCTATCTGAGCTTGGCTTTAGTTTGATTTATTACAGTTCGATTTTTAGTCATATATCTTATCATGTATTTCTGGTAGTAAATATATAACACTGTGTGTGGAGTATCCGAGTTGTATTGTGATGAGAGCTGGCAGTTAGCCAAATTGGTAGACATTAATTTACATCAATGTTTATATCCCAAATATTGGTCGTGAGAAAAATAAGAACGAAGAATTTGCGTAGGCGTACACAGTTAGCATATAGATGATCTGACATTCAAGAAACAGCCACAAAGACATGAAAGATTAACTTTCAGTGAGAAACATCCCATCAGAAGACTGTTTTCTGCTAACAATAATCTTTTAATAATGTACATGAAAATCTATAAATATGTGTTGATTTCCTTAATAAACGATCTGTTGCATGGCCCTTGTCTTCTGTTGTTACAGTACTACTAAAAATTGATGAGTTTATAAAATCCTGCTTTATTATCAACTGTCGTTTGTCTTACACCTGCAGAAAGCCTAAAACGTCAACTGTTATCCACGTAAACACTACTTTATTATAAAAATGTCAACTACTTTTGATAAAGACAGAAGGTGAGCTTTTCGAATACATTGTCTTACGGAAAATCTAACTCTGAAATCTATATAAATACATAAATCGCATACATCGAAATTTACTCTTTCATCTTCGATATAGATTTGTGTAAAACTTCAGATGGTGTTTTGGAATTTGTAGTGTTCGTGTAATGAGATTAATTTTTCTTTAAATGTAAATAAATTGGTGGGTTTCCAATTGGATTCTTGAAATGAGATATAGGTAGCTGAATTGAGAAAACAATCTCTTGTTTCCAAAAGGCTGGTCATGTGTCATGTACAGTTGTGTATCTTGTTTGTTTACGTACTTATAAGTCTGTGGTGTGGTTGCATATATATATATATATATATATATATATATATATATATGGTTTTTATTAGACTAACACACACAGTTCTCAGGTGAAGCAAAATAAGAGGGTAAATCCTTTATCTCAAAAGATTGCATTCAATTCTTTCGCATGCAACATGCTGTTTTAAAAGATGAACGATTAACTGATGCACTTGAATTTACCCTGTTGAACAGGATCACAGTAATGTCTTCCATCTCCTTGATAACCACTCATACAACGGCATTCACCTTGAATGCACTTGGCGTTTTCATGACATCTAACACCAGAACACGGGTCTGAAAGTAAATAACCATATTGCATAGGGTATATTAGGCATGCTAAAAGATTTAAATCCTGAGAAACTCCTATTCATATTTTGTATTTTTTTGAGTTTGAAACCCGGGTGATTACATTTAGGTTCTTTAAATATCTTCAGTACTTATTACTCAATTTTAGTTATTTGGTTGTATAGACGACATTAAATATTCTTTACACCCAACAGTTTTGTGTTGTTTCGTTTCTTGCTAAAAAAAATTATTAGTATCTCCTCTTTACATTTCTTATAAGTGGTATTTTCGTCGCGTAGGAACTAGAGTTTGGATAATTACTTTCATTTTAACCAACAATACAAAATATTACCTGAAAGGCAGTTCCGGTAATGTGTTTGTCTGGTTTTGGTTATCTACTATACTGATTTAACAATAATTAGTTTTTCACCTAATAGTTAAAACACTGTGTTAGAGGATGAAAGAGTTTTCATTTTTCTTGTAGTATGAACATGTAAGGAAATGTAAGCATTACCGATTCAGGATATAATTGTTAGGAAGAATCAGGAATTCTTATTATGTTGTTAAATATCAAGAAAGTTTCATTTTTGCATCAGTATTTATGATGTTTAGAAAATAATGTCTGTTGTGTCCACTTTAGCTAAATGAAGTAAATATGAGTATATATTTGCCTTAATTATCCACCACGAGTGAATCTTAGATGTCATTTTCATAATTACTGACAAGTAATTGAACTTTGGATAAAAATACATATTTTGCAATCGCGAATTCCTCAAAACATATTCACATATACATTCTTCACCTGCATTTGATGTACTTGCAGGTAAGTACAAGTAAACGGGTGTATTTGGCTTCAAGTAAAGATCAAGGGAGACTAGTAACTTGTTGAAACAAGCAGTTTGGATTATGAGGAACGACCAATGTGACAGCTAGATAAATATCTTTCTGTGAAACGTTGATTTTGTAAATTTTTTTTCAGATATTTCATCATATTTCAAGTCATGCCTTATAAAGTCGCTTTGCAGTACTGATGTAGTCCCCTTCAAATTTATCACTTAAAATCAAACTTTGCGGGCCTCCTGATTGTATTTTATTCAGCCTGTCTTTGTGACTTGAAGGATATAAGCTTAGACCGAAGACTAAGATACATCCTACCACATGTTTCTTTGTGCTATAGACATCCGTGATTCGTTGAATCGCATGAATTATATTCTTTTGGTTTCTGTCTTGTATATTATACGTCGTATGTTTCTCTTCCTAGGTCAACAATACCAGATAAAATAGAGTTCTAGTGTTCTCCTTACGAATGCGTCAACCAAGCACTACATTATATTGTTAAACTTATATCTCATAATTTTCACGTGGATTAACAGCATTTGAATTAATCTTTGGACGAGAATGAGAAACCATTTAAGTTGAATTTATGTCTCCTTCGTATTTGAACTCAGAAAAATCTGGATAGGAACATATAGGGATGTATCTACCACAGAAAATGATGGAATAAGTTATATCTTGAATTCAGCAACAACAAAATATGTAGCTGTGGAGAGGACTCTCCAGAAGGGTAAGAAGTGATATTATGTCAGAGTCATAATATGCTGTTGTAGTTCCACAAACAGCATGCATCAAAGGTACGGGTTTCACTAACCATCTTTTATGAGGGAGACTGATGGTCACGTCCTGTGGGAACTTCAGTTTATATATATATATATCAAGAAGTATCAAGGAAACTCTTCCTGAGTCACTTTTACTGTTCTTACCGTCTTGCATCTCATAACAGTATCTGAAGCCATCCCCTTCATAACCATTCAGGCAACGACAGTGACCATTTTGACATTCAGCTTTTGAATGACACTGTACACCTGAACAAGTATCTGTAAATAAGGTTAACAGTTTTATTATTTGTTATGTAAAATTCTGTTACATGCAGTATCATGCAGTGAATATTCTACATTCAGTTTAACTGTCGTGGTAGGGTGCAGAAGCATCCTTGTGAAGTATGCTGTCAAATGTCTGTTTGATGAATGGGTATTTCATCCCACTTAATTCATGTATGAACAAAAATTATACAGTAGGTTTGAAAAATGTGACCAAAGAATGTGTGATGAATCTTGCACATGCTGCTTAAAAAATGAGTAATTTATTTGGGACTAGAAGATATTCATTTCCATAAAGGAAATGACTGAAGGGAGATATAAACTTGCATATTCATGCTGAGTTTATTAGTAAAGTACGTCAGATACATGCTGAAATTGTATCGGTCTCACCGTTAATAGCTATATGGCAATCATAATAACCGTCGCCTTCGAAACCTTCCGCACATAAACAACGTCCATCCCGGCAATAACCATAAGAATGACACCGAATATTCGAACATAGATCTAGAGGTATGAATAAAGTCCAGAAATCAAGTGTGTGTGTGTGCGGGGTGATATAAAGTCATGTCACTTTTACCGGTTAATATTTGTAACCTAACGAATATAAATTTGTCCCTCTTCTTCAGTGGAAAGCTGTAAATAGCATACATAACAGTAGCTGTGACAAGTCAAATAATTTTACAAGATGGCTCTATTTCTCTATTCTTTGAGTTCTAAGTGGAATGTGGGTTTATAAGCTTTGAAATTTAAGGATAAATTGTGTTCTTCTACAGAGTTGCTGGCCTCACGCCCAACCTTCTTTATTTTCTGGGCACTTCTATGACATTAATCTAAACATCTGATTCATATGAATATTTTTCAGATACATTACTCATGGACTAGAACCATTCACAGCATCCCTCAACTACGTTTAACTATAACGTGCATTATATACACATATAATCCATTGGTTATTTGGTTTACGCCGGTGTTTTTGTATTATAGACAATAATTAAAACACGTTACTAAATAAATTCGCATCGTTGTTTTTCTATGTGTTCACAAGTTTATCTTGTCTTTAACTTTCAACTCGACATGGTGGTGTGTAACGCTAAAATGTAATAGCTAGTCTTCTGACTGCTTCACTTATGTTGTACATCAACTAGTGAAAAGATAAATATTTGATCTGTCTCATACCCTCTTCCTGACGCCTGTTTCCATAAATTACCCTTAAATATTAGTTTTACTATCCTTCTTTCGGTAGATATTAAATTCGTCAGGCTTGTAACTAGTGTAATAGCATTCACCAATAAATTTATGTACTGCAGTACGAGTATTCAAATTTGGATATGTATGCTGAATATTCTTACCATTAACTGTTTGTCTACAGTCATAATATCCATCGCCTTCGAATCCTTTCATGCAGTAACATCTTCCACTTATGCACTCCCCGTAATCATGGCATTTGACGCCCGAACAGGGATCTAAAATGAAGTTTGTAACGTTTTAATAAGTAATAAAACAACTGGTTTCTTATTTCTATGGATTCTAGAAATTTACTATCTTTTGTTTGATGATTGTTTTATAGTTTCTTATGCATTTCTTCTCACGTTTTAAAGTTCACCGAATTTCGAACTACAATTACTTTCCGTACATCTTCTGTTTCAAACAGTATCTTTATTTTTTAACAGGCTGTTGGCCTAATACAAAAGAAAGTCATACACAGCTTTGACCGAAAAGTATATCAGGAAGAGAAAAGTTTTTCTACAGCGATATTATCTTTAAGTTACGAGTCATGAACATAAAAGTTGACATTTTACAAATATAAAAAGCATACCACTTGGGTTGTAACACTACTTATCTATTTTTATGTATGAGGATGTCTCCAACATTTAGTATGCGAGGAAAAACATTCACTTTCCCTTAAAAGTTGCATTTACTGGTTTTGTAAAATACGTGATTAAAAAGACCCTTTGGAATTTTATTCTTATTGAACAGTACAAAAACGAATACTGTATCTTAGTTTTACTGATAAATTTTCCAGTTTCTTTTCGAACAATTCATTTAAAAAATACATTGTAACGAGATGTAATGTAAATACTACATCTACTGAACGGGATAAATCAAAGAATGCAAGCAAGAATATCTATTTCTTCAATTTAATTATTTTGTCTTGTAGATTCTCATCAGCTGCGGACTGCTTGAAATTAAAAGAATAAAAATGACATCCACACTTGACGTGAACCCATGAGTGTGAAAGGCATTGTCGCATATTAACGACTGCTTTCGTTTGTTGAAATTCATCAAAGTAACTAAATGTACCAAATTAATTATTTAAATCAGAATACAACAAAAATAGAATTAACTACCAAAGAATTTCGAACGGTCATTATGGCGAAATAGTGAAGCTTCACATTAAGACGAATGCTTTGTAAGTACTTACCGATTTTATGGTGTTCAATAATACTTAATGCAAAGTACGTGTTTACAAGATCCTTAGTCCACAGGGTGGTTGAGCCTTAGTTTCTTTAGAAATTGATATGTGTTTGCACTTTAAACGATAGTCTGATGAATGCTATGATCATACGCTTCTTATGAAGTGTTCTACGAGCTATTATTATTAAGGATGAACTGGAGCAATAAAGAGGTGAAATGACCGTGAAATTTTCAGACGATTTCAACAAGTCTAAAATAAGCTACTGATTCGCATTGTTAATGATCACCTGATCTTATCAGTTAGAAGAATATTAATACTCAGTACAACTATCTCATGTGGACAATCGTTTCGTCTTTTATTCATACAACTTACATAAGTCCGCCAACTTATTTTTTTGTATTTCAGAGAGTGATACCGATAGAAAATATTTCTAAGCGTTGCTTAATTTCCTTGTCAGTTGTAAAAGGACAAAACGTTTCGAGCTAAAAATACGTCTCTTCATCGCTTCTTCCAATATGTACATATAACAGGAGTGTTTTAATGACTTCTAATTCCCAGTAAATGCTATTAAAGGTTATCTTACTAAAATGACTAACAGTTTTAACTTACACAGCTATTCTACTTGTCTTTCTAAGGTTTACTAGGAGTTGACACACACAATGAACACACTAAGACAAATAATAGCAAATATTGCAAAGAATTTTAGACTATTCTTTGTATATAAAATCATTATTACAGGAGAACAGTGATATTACTGGTGAAAAACATCCTGTTTGTTAATCAGCTTCATGAAAATGCGCATAAGTTTAATTTAGCTGCAAATCGTTTTTTGTGAGTAAATCATTCTTTGTTCGATATTGTCAATTCTCTTGGTTTAAAAGAATTGTTATCTCTTACTTTTTACTGAAGAAATAAAGAAGTATACTTAAGCTGTTTCTCTTTGTAAATGATAGTAGACACTATGATAGGGCTTCTTTACTTGTGGCTTTATGTAGAATCTGCGAACTTCAGCTAATAATAAATTTTATCCGTTATACAAGAAATGGCTGAAGTAACTCATAAACTCAATGTATAATGGTGTATAATGATCAATACTCAATATCAGATGGCCAGAAAAGATCAGCAACAGGGATCTCTGGGAGCAAACCAACCAGGAACCGATTGTGAAACAAATATGCAGAAGGAAATGGAGATGGATTGGCCATACTATGAGGAAACCATCAAGTGACATCACTAAACAAGCCCTTGAGTGGAACCCGAAAGGGAAGCGGCGAGTCGGTCGTCATTGCAAGGGTGACTTGGAGGAGGTCATGTGAAGAGGAGATGAGAACGTGTGGGCAGACTTGGAGCCAGGTGAAGACTCTAGCAGAGAACCGAACTCAATGGAGACGCACGACTAAAGCCTTATGTTCCTCTAGGAATTAAAGGATATAATAATAATAATGGTTTAGTGCGTAAAGTCGTGGTTACTCGATTGGGTTACAGCATATAAACCATTACCCAGTAGTGTGCGGACGAATTTTGAAAAAAAGAAGTCTGCAACCTAAATTCTCCTACGGAACAGGTAACAATATCATGATGGAAGCGAAAAAAGTTATAAATTACACGCCGTAGGAGCTCCTATTCGGTCTAGAGGAAGAAATACAACCAAATTAAAGGGGTTAATAAACGAGTGGAATTGCTTACATTATATTTGTATTGCCTCATAAATTCAAGAAACAGTTAGAAAAATAAAACGAGTAGTGTGATTATTCGTGTTGATAATTACAGTGTACCTTGTTTGTTCAGTGGTTCACACTATCAAATGTTAGCATTGTTAATACTTTACCTATTTAAAAAAATATTTAAAATTATTCTATTCGGATTTATTTTGTCTACACCACACATACGTGTTATAATGTTATAGCATTTCATGTTGTCAGCATTTATAAACCTTACCTCTAATATGGCAGTCATAATACCCATCACCAACATAGCCATGAGAACAATAACACTGTCCATCTTTGCACTGCGCATATGGATGACATTGAATACGAGCACACAAATCTGTAAGCAAAGATTTCTTGTCAAGAGTTGTTTGCTGAACTTAGTCTCACAATAACTATAGTATCTTTTCATTCAAATGTCACAACACATGCTTTAGATTAACTTCATGTACAGCTTTGTAATTTTAAATTTCTAACACATCCCAAGTTTAGTCACAGTTAAACGATAATGAAATAAGAGATAAAATTTTGACTGATGTTTAAAACAAATGCCTCAAAAATAAATGGAAGGGGAAAGCTTTCACAAACAAAAGAAGATCAAATGATAATAAATGGCCACCATACATGCATCCACGGTTTAAGGGAAATTTCTAACTTCAGATGTTACACGAAGTGAAATTTATGTTAAGTATAGTAAGAAAATACAACGAGATAATTCTTCCCTGTTAAATAACAAAAATGAATTATTCAAGTCTATAAATGTAATAGTAATGAGAGTAATGTATCTATTAGTGAAAGACCAGTTATAATGAAAGGCGCATTCCATCTAGGTCTCGAATTCACTCACCTAAACATATCAGATAGCTTCATTTACATGGAAGTTACAGTTGAGTGATCGGTTAGAAAGTAGATTACATCTTTAATTAGTCAATATTATTTTGGTGAATAATACTGAGAAGTTTGTGAATATCCAGGTTGAAAGTCAAGATTTTAGGAAGACTGGCATTGATTAGACTATTTACTATGAAGATATGTCTCTTTAATTTTGTCAGTAGCTGATAAATCCAACAATTCACAAATAACCATTAAACAGAATTTAAAATATGAACACGTCAATTTTCAATGAATGAAGAAATATAGTATGCTACAGTATGAAGATAGTTACAGAAATCAAAACCAACCAATGTCGATTCATTCTTGAGTGAATCAGAAAGACAACTAGTTTCAGATTTGACAGCAAAACACAAAGGACGTAATTTAGAGTGACTACGCAGTGAAATGGATGGTGGCGGTTATTCAAACTGCAAAACTAGCACTTTAATTTTATCGATGAGTTCACTCCGGTGGAACCATATTGTTTCTCTGTCACCTTTTACGTTATATTTCGTAAAGTTTTGTGCATTAATGTATCATTCTCTTTTGTTTCATTATATTTGGAGCTGATTAATAGTGTTGGTTTTAGATTTAATGGAGAAGATTTGAAGTTCAGGTGTTATCTCTGAGTTGGATGGTTTAGTTACGAAGCTTTCATTGTCTTACTAGACAACATCCTCAGCGAATACTTCAATTTGAAATGGGCTATTAAAATTCTCCACGGGTTTATTAGTCATCTTTCCTAGTAACCTTGAAGGTGATTGGTTGTTTTTGTGTATTTCCTCACCCTCTAGTCTATTACTATTGGTGTTGACTGTTTCATCGGTTTTATGTGAACCTAAAGACAACAGCGAAAGACACAAACTAACATCATCTACAAGATAAAATGCAATGACTGTAAGGGACACTACATATTTTAAAGTGGACGCCCTCTTCGTCCTCGCATCAATGAAAATAAACAGGCCATCAAAAGACACGATATCCATTTCCTCAAATTAGTGCGTACAGACAAGTGAGCACACCAGATTGATTGGGATGATGTTCAGATCTCAGTCAGGTGAAACCAAAAGAGACAGAGAATTTCTAGAAGCCTGATATTCAAGTTAATCGGCAATCAGCAGACACACAGAAAAGATTTATCAATCCATAAGAAGGGAATCACAAGAGCAAAATGTCAACTTTCAGGTCATAGAAACAATCAGCACCAATACAAATAGATTAGAGGGTGAGAAAATACACAAAAACAACCAATCACCTTCAAGGTTACTAGGAAAGATGACTAATAAACCCGTGGAGAATTTTAATAGCCCATTTCAAATTGAAGAATTCGCTGAGGATGTTGTCTAGTAAGACAATGAAAGCTTCGTAACTAAACCATCCAGCTAATAGAGTGCAACTACATCAAAAAGTGTTGCTTTTGGCGGAAAACTTTTTCGATATTTGCATTACATATTTAAATCCTTGTTGCATATTATCAACCAATCTAAAACTTTCAGGCAGAACTGGTCATATATCACTCCGCAAAACAGAAAGTAATAATTGGTTTGGAGTCCCTAATTTTCACAAAATGCCTCACTCATATAAGCATAAAGAAGTAACTACCATGAAATAAATAAATATCTCAAAATTAAAAATCCTTGCATCTGATGGCATTACCAAGATAATGTGTATAGTGTGTGTAAAAGTGGTTAGAATAGCATAATGCGCATGCTAATAAAGCATTCCGTCTACAACACTTTTACTTTTAGTTCCTTCTGTAATAATGGAGAGGCATGCTAGTATTGCCATTTTTCAGGTCTTTTCTTTGTTAGTGTTCATGTTAGTAGCCTACTCACCACTTTTTATCGGTCTACACTCTCGATAACCATCACCCATATATCCGGTTTTACACGTACAAACACCATTATGACAGTTGGCATCGTAATGACATTGTACTAGTGTACACGGGTCTGTGTTAACATTAAAAATAACACAGATAATTCACTTTGAAATTAGTGTTGTAAAAAGAAATAAACATTCATGTGGACATAAGATATCAATGGTTTAACATAAAAATAGTTAAAGGTTGCTGACATTAATAAAAGAAATTATATCCGACTAATTATTCTCTGTTGTTTCTGTTGTTTCAATGACGTTTGGCTTACCACAAGATATGGGTCTATTTCGTAATAAATTAGACAGCACACCAATTTTGGACTAGGACTAAATAATTATCAGACTAGGACATTTCTGAGTAGTAAAGCACACAAGCTAGAAATGGAAATTCTGTTTATGAAGAAAGAATACAAGTTTGAGAAAATATCCAATCGACATACACTGAAATCTGATTTAAGACATCATTTGTTGAGTGAGGTTTTAAACAATAAAGTTGTGAGACTGGCCTGTGAGCAAGTGAAATACTATTGGAATTATTAATATTACTAGTTGAGAGATTACTGCAGGTTTGCTTTCTGGTGGTTATAGCCCCAAGGATGCTTATTTATTCAAAGTTTTTTACTAATTACTTCATCTTCTACACTAAGAAAAGTCTTTATTTGTCTATTGTAGATAAGGTGAGTGTACAAGCCGAGAGAATTCAGGTTTTAGGCTTGTATGTTTCAATCTTTTTTCAGAATGAAACGACTTAAACTGTTATGTTTGGTGTAAGGTTCATAGGTAACTGTGACAATTTAATTTCATATACATTGTTTAAATTATATCTTGTAATGACTTCACGACTTCTACGACTTAGTTAGGTAAATAGAAGATCTCTGAACCACTGCAGGACAAAAGCCAGCTATCCACTGGTCTTACTCACCGACTTCGATACGGCGGCACTCATGATAACCGTCTCCTTCATATCCATAACGGCACCGACAGCTGCCGTTGATACAATGTCCATAATGATGACACTGGACATATTCACAGGGATCTATATTAAAGTTATTGATATAAGTTACACATACGCGTATTAGTATGTAAATAAGCTCTTTTTTGGGAAATTAAGCATTCCGCATTCAAAGGAATTTAGTTAGGAGAGAAATTTACGTGCTTCCAATTAATTTAAAATATGACTTCAGAGTTGTTGAAAAAATAATATGTTAGTAGTTGTGATGACATATATAGATGCATATACGCAGGCTAGTATAATGAATTGTAGATACTAATGATAATGATGACAGGTGTTATTTAAGTAAACTGACTGTATATTCCTTTCAGTGCAAACATTATTACCATGCCAACACATTCTAAAATTATATACACAATGCTAATGCATTTACATTTCTATGAATAACTTTATGAGGAAAGATGTTGCTAATGTTTCTAACCACTTACCATAAATGACAGGTTTGCAAATTTGGTACCCATCACCTCTAAAACCTGGTTTACATTCACAGTATCCATTTCGACACTTAGCCTGTGGATGGCATTTAACCCTAGAGCATGGATCTTCGTTAAAGAAGTTGATGAGTATAAGAATGGTATTTTTATAAACATCATGTTATTCTCTCAAAAAAGTGTGGTTAGTTAATTATACTTGGAAAAGAAATTATCAAAGGAAAGTGTATGTTGAGATGAAGCAGCACTATTTTTTAAGCCAGAACCAATATTATGACTATTATTATTACTGTTCCCTTGCGTTCCGAGTGGAACATAGGGATTCAACAACACATCTCCACTTTCTTCTGTTTTCTGCTGTCCTCTTCAGTTGGGTCCACGATCCATCAAATTCTCTCATCTCTTCCTCACACGCTCTCCTCCATGTCACCTTCGTACTGACGACCCACTCGCCGCTTCTCACTTGGATTCCACCAGAGCTATAGCGTGCACTGCGCGCAATGTCATTCGACAGTTTCTTCAATGTATGCCCGATCCATCTTCACTTTCTCCTACATATTTGTTGAGCAATCAGCTCTTGGTTGGTTCGTTCCCAGTCAGAGTTTCTTGTAAATAATCCTTTCTGGCCTGCCATTTGATCTCTAGTATGTAGCCAGTGAAGGCAGCTGTTGATAAAAGCCTGTAAATTGTTGGAAATTCTTTTCGTGACACGCAGTGCAAGTTTCTGACCTGACTGAATTTACATTTGTGTTGAATAAAATCCGAATCTTGTTCCTTATGCTGATTGCGGAAGATTTCCAAACTCGTTTCAGGTTGATGAAGGCGCATCTTGCCCTTCCCATTCTAGCTGACTCAGACATCTTCGTCCGTTCCGCCTGTTGTTGAAACCATGCTTCCCAGATAACTGAAGGAGGCAACCTCATTCAAATCTCTCCCGTTGACTGTGATTGTTAATGGTTGTTGCGGTTCGTTGGTTATCTTCATCAACTCCGTCTTCTCCATGTTCACCTGCAGTCCTGCCTTCGCTGTCGCCTCTTCTCGCAGTTTGTTAGCTTTCGTCTGCAAGTCTTCGAGTTTGTGTGACATTAGACATATATCATCTGAGAGATCCAGATCTTCTAGAGTCTTCTTATTGGTCAGTGCGGCGTATTCCTGTCTCCTCGCTCTCCACAGTCCAACGCGTAATCCAGTCCACCACAATTAAGAATATTATCGGTGATAAAAGACAGCCTTGTCTTACTCCTGTGTGCACTTCAAACCCCTGGTTGAGTTTCTCGTTGTGGATCACCTGACACGTGACATTGTCATATCGCCAGCTGTTGAATGAGGTTGATAAGGACTTAGGAACTGCGCACCGTAGTGTTGAAGTAGTTTATTATGGCTACTATTTAGCAGAATCAGTTCATATGGACAACTTCATCTCAAAATAAATTCTCAGTTGATTCGCTTAGACCAGGACTGAAGGACACAAAAGAAGAAAAATCACCAACCATATCACTAAACTGTGACGACCTAGTTAGCTTACATATTTGTACCGCTTAAATCACTGCTACGACTATAGATGAAAGCAAAAAAGTCAAATTTTGCTTGAAAGCAAACATCGTGGTTAGTACAGTTTTAGTCGCTTTTAATTCTTCTGAACACTACGCGCAAACTAAAATGTGATAATATAGAAATTTGAGACACTATATTGGGAAACTTTTACCAAAATTATGTTTCGTATAGGATAAATACATAAATAAATCCAATTCCCTAACTGTAATCCAAAGTCTGGACGAAAATTAAATAACTACAACAATATTTATGTTGCATGAATCATAGAAATCCGTTGTTTTCACTTATAGGTCTTATGCTGATTGAAAAAATTCAGTGGCAGAAACATCCAGCACATCATATCCGTTTTACGTGATCAGAAATGACTGTGTCGCTACTTAGCTGGTTACGCTAATGGAACTTATTCCCTGCTGTGAAAAATATAGTTATCATTATTTCAGTTAATAAAAGTAGCTTTCACAGTTGAGTATATTTATTTGCCATTTGTTACGAGGAGTGATAATAATTTAAACTATTGAATCGTATGAAAACTGTACTTAAGCAATGATTGCCGCCAAAATTATAGAAGGTTCAAATCTTACAAAGAATAAAACAAAGCAGTTCGCAATGATTTGCTAAGCTTATTAAAATATAACAAAACTATATTTCGCCCGCGAAAAAAATATTTTAGCGTTCTTCATATGCATCAACAAGCATTCTTTGACATCAGAGCAGTTCAGAAAGTTATTTTTGATGTAGGAAGTAACCTCATGATCCCAATACTTAATAATGATGAATGTGACATGTCAATCCCTAGTTGTCATAAAATTTATGGAAATCAGCATCATGAGTATGGAAAAACTGATTAAAAGTTGTCTGATGATGAAACTATTTCAGATAAATCTTTGGTTGGGTGACTGTTATTGATTTAGTCGGTAGTGATTGGGGTGAAATGAAAGTCTGGGTCGCTACAGAATTCGAATCTGCAGTCTCATTTACCTTTGATAAACATAACTGGTCTATTGTTCGGAAAATCAATTATACTCTGAAATATTTAGTACTAAAAAGATATCAAAGTATGTACGTTTATAACTACGAGTAAACTACCGACTTTACTGTAGATAATGTCAATTTTTATTAAAAATGCCCAGTAATATGAATGACTTCAACTCAAAATATAGCTCATTAATTCTTATCCTCGAAGTTTCGAATAAAACTTATGCATCAAATATCTTATAACTCTTTATATGTTTGGTTTTTGAACTGAGATGCATCATGCAAACATACTTTTATGTGCGAAGGTTAAAAGCTCGGTATTTTGATGAAAAGAGAAATGAAAAACGGAAAGAATCACCATATTGTCTTTATCAGGTGGTTATTAAAATGCATAAAGGGGTTTCGCAAATAAATTAATTGTATCATCTCAGAACAGTGCTCTTCATGGGATAATTTAAATAAGGTCAAGTGAGGAATTGGGGTGGGGGAGCGAACTTACCATAAAGCTCAGGCTTACAATCATAATACCCATCACCTTGGAAACCTTCTACACAGTAGCATTCTTCGTTACGACATCGAGCATTCGGATGACAGCGTACTTGAAAGCACCGATCTAATAAAGTGAGAGACATTATGCATTCCCAGAAAATTAATTTCTGTATAAATTTTTATCAGAGGTGTCCAAAACAGGAGGAAAGTTTGGCTTTCTTATGACATTTAAGTTAGTATTCAAAGACTGTAGTTACTCTTGCTAAGATACACATTTATTTTGAAATCAGCCCAGAAATTTGGTAAGTTCTTCAAAATCTCAAATGTGTTGTAACTTCATAATTGTCTTCATATTAAATTCAGGCAATTCTGTAGTAATGATTGCATGAATTCAAAAAATAGACACAAAATATGCATACAATGATTTTAAACTTGCCTCTCTCTTCATAGCACTTTATAACCGGATCTCCTGTGTAGCCTGGTGTACAAACGCATGCACCATCTTGACAGAATGCTTGTTCTCCACACTGAACACCTTCACATAGATCCACGCCGCTTGGTATACAAACACCACTTTCACAGATTTCATTACGACGACATTTGGAACATGGATCTGAAGTGAAAATTTAAATTATTTAACGATTATGATATGACACATTGACTATTTAGAAAATGATACTGACTGCTGATATATTCTCTAAAACTGAAACATATGGCCAGCAGTCACAAATAAGTACAAATCAGAATTTCTATACAGAAGAAATTATTAGTGATATCTTGATGAGAAAAGAAAAATCCCATGTTGTGTTGCGCTAACTTAAAGAATTTAAAATATATAGACTAGTAGATGGATGATAAATAGAACCAAGTACCAGTTTTTTATTTCATTCAATTAGTTAATTACTTGCGATCTCTTCTTCCTGTGAAATATGTGGTGAAAATGATATCTTAGGCTTCGCGATTAGCTTTGAAAACGCAGATTTTTTATCAACTTGTGTACAGTTGTCTTAGATGATAAATACTAAAAAGGAAAAGCACACACTTTGCTCTTTATTTGGTAGTTGCTAGCAATGTAATTTAGGGTTTGAGTTTCATTCTCTTTAGGACTCTTCATCCAGATGTACCTGCGGCTTTATTGGGTAGTGGCGTTCCTAATAAAACTTAAATCGATAAAATCATTCAACAGGTAATTCAAAATACTCCTTTCAACAGAGTATACTTGCAAGCAGCATGCAACCATGATTCCTCTGAGAATAGATTCTACGACTTTCAGATTAAAAGATGAGCCTGTTAACAATACAGCATACTGTTTTGTGCCTCCTAAAATACCTGAAATATCTGTACACAATTTTATGTTTTGGCTGGATTAGATGTGCGCTTCTGTAACTGTTGGTAGTCTTTAAAGTTCATAAATAATCAAAAAATTACTACAAAGAAGTGGTGAGACGCATAAAATAGTTGTTTATGGAAATGAGTATTGATTTGCATCGATAACATATGACTTTCCACATAGCACTCCTAGTATTAAAGATGTACAGGTTAATCAAAATGGATAAGGAAAATTGTAATCAGTTTGGAGGATACTTATCTCACTTTTCATAGGTTAATTAATGTAACATCACTAAACTTATTAAAGAGAGACTAGCGGGAATTAAAAGTCAAAAGATATGGTAGATAATGGTAAACAAATATGTGCTTTATTCAAAAGCCACAGATCCAAAATTGACGGGATACCCTATGACTAATAACACTATTAACAAAGAGGAGCTTGAAAGAAAGAAAATGCAAAAGAAAAGGAAAACACTACAAGTCTAAGTAAATGAGAAAAATTCTTTCTACTAGATTTGATTTCGTGTGTCCTTAAAAATGGGGACTAATTCAGTGCGCTTAATTGTCTGAGCATTATAACCTAAATTGTGTGAAATATTGTTAAACAATGACTGCGTCATGTATGCTACTCCATGGTGTGTAGAATAAATCATTTGAATCATTGAATTCCTTCAAAATATATTAGGTTAAAAGTAGTAACTGCTTGCCTGTAACCACTATAAAAAAACTTTTCAGCGATCTTTTGTCATTTTGTCATTATCTTTGTTTCATATCCTTATAGTGCCACTTCAACCAAATGATTGCCTTTTAGTTAGGAGGTAGATTGCTAAATATTGTGCGGTTGACTTAGGTAACAATTTTACCGTTGGACGGGGGATTAAGTGAGTAAAACTTAACTTAATATATTCTAAATTTTATTATTCCCCATATTAACTTCTTAGACCACTAATATGAGTAGAATTGATTCTATTATCTCGCAGTGTTTCACTTAAATGACAAATTTTCAAGGAGGATTTGTGAGGGAAAACATTGTTACTCAAGCAACCAACCCTTCAGTCATTTTGAAATAAATTTTTTTCGGAGCATTTTCTACTATTGAGGAGACTTTCTTATGTGTTATTCATTCTGAGGATTTGAATAAGAACACTTATGTAATAGCTGTATACCTTAGAACCTTAATGTATTCTATGGGAATTTGAACTTAAAGAATGAAGGTGACAGTAAGATTATACCATCAACAATAACGAACCTCGCCTAGATTACTAGGTCACTAGTATTCTAGCCGGTCCCAAGCCCGGATAAAGAGGGAGGGTTGGGGCGTGGTGCTAGCAACTCCACCCCCAAAACTTAACCAAATTGCTACTAAAACTTCAACGCACAAATATATTCAAAATTCTAAAATTACAAATAGTGACCTTATTTCTCGCTGGAATCGGGGAAGTGAAATGACGCGGGCTGGTGAAAGCCTTCGGGAAGCCAGTCAGCCGATGTGTCTTCTTTCGATGAAAGCGAAAATAAGGATGGGGACGTGGAATGTTCGTACAATGTACGAAGTTGGGAAGGCTGCTCAGGTAGCCGCAGAAATGAGGAGATATAGAATAGAAGTGTTGGGAATCTGCGAGAGCAGATGGAACGGATGTGGAAGGAGCCAACTATCAACTGGAGAGACAATAATCTACTCCGGTCACCCAGAGGACAATCACGAGCACACCGAGGGAGTGGCCATCATGATGTCACCAACAGCGGCTAAAGCTCTCATGCAGTGGGAACCAATCTCCTCCAGGATAATGACAGCCAGGTTCAACTCAAAAGGAAAAAAGGTTACAATCATTCAGTGCTACGCGCCTACAAACGCCTCAGAACATGAGAAGAAGGAGGATTTCTACAGTCAACTACAAACAGCAATGGACAACGTCCCAAAGAACGATATCAAAATCCTGATGAGTGATATGAATGCGAAACTGGGAGGAGACAATACAGGAAGAGAACTCACCATGGGTCGTGAAACCCTCGGTGAGATGAACGACAATAGTGAACTCTTCTCAGACTTCTGCGCCTTCAATGATTTGGTGATTGGTGGCAGTGTGTTCAAACACAGGGATATACACAAGGCAACATGGATTTCACCAGATGGACACATCAAAAACCAGATAGACTTCATTTCAATCTCAAGGAAGTGGAGACGGAGCCTACTGGACACAAGATCGAGGAGAGGAGCAGATGTGGGTTCAGACCACTATCTGGTACAAGGGACTTTCAAGGTGAAGCTGAAAGCCTCGAGGATACCTGGGGATAGGCCACAATGCAAGTTCAACACTCACAAACTGAAGGACACAATCACACAGGACATTTTCACTGCAACTGTCAGAGCAAAGCAGGAAACACTACGTGGCACCACTGAGGAATCATCCGTGGAAGACCATTGGAACTCTCTGAAGGTAATTTTCAACGAAACGTGCTCAACGGTTTTAGGAAGAAAGAAGAAACAAGACAAGGAATGGCTCTCAACAGACACTTGGAAACTAATAGAGGAGAGGAGAAAAGTGAAAGAGAAAATGATTCAATGCAAAGATGGACAAGAGAAAGAGACGCTGAACTCAACTTACACAGCACTGGACAAAGAAGTGAAGAAGAGTGCCAGGAAGGACAAAAGACAATTCTACGACAACCTGGCTACTGAAGCTGAGAAGGCAGCAGGCAAAAGGGACCTGAGGACACTATATCAGATAACCAAGTCTCTATCCGGGAAGAGATCAACACAAGTGAAACCTATAAAAGACGGCCAAGGGAACCCAATTACCAAGGAAGAAAGACAGATTAAACAATGGGCGGATCACTTCAAAGAACTCTTGAACCGACCACCATCTACAACCCGTCCAGTAATACCAACAACAGCACGTACACAACTGCAAGTTGACACCAATCCTCCAACGAAAACTGAAGTCATGAATGCAATCAAGCTTCTGAAAGCTGGAAAAGCAGCTGGACCAGATGGAATACCCCCGGAAGCACTGAAAGCGGACCCAGAAACGACGGCAGATATGCTGACTCCATTATTGCAAAAGGTCTGGAAAGAGGGAAAGGTGCCTACTGACTGGAGGAAAGGTTACCTCGCGAAACTACCAAAGAAGGGCGACCTGGGACTCTGCAAGAACTGGCGAGGAATCATGCTCCTGTCGACGCCAAGTAAAATCCTGAGTCGCATCATCCTGGAGAGAATCAAGGACGCGATGGATACAGAACTCCGACCAGAACAAGCTGGATTCAGGGAAGGCAAATCATGTTCTGACCAAATTGCAACTCTACGCACTATCATCGAACAAAGCATGGAATGGCAATCAAATCTCTACCTCAACTTCATAGACTTTGAGAAGGCCTTCGACAGCGTTGACCGCGAAGTAATTTGGAAACTACTCAAGTACTACGGCGTACCCCAAATATTCATCAACCTTATTCAACAACTGTACGACAACGGCACATGTCAAGTGATCCACAACGGAAAACTCAGCGAAGCGTTTGGAGTAAACACAGGAGTCAGACAAGTGTGCTTATTATCACCAATGATATTCCTAATTGTGGTGGACTGGATTATGCGTCAGACAGTAGGAAAGGAGGAGACAGGGATATCCTGGACCGACGTGAAGAACCTAGAAGACCTGGATTTCGCGGATGATTTATGTTTGATGTCACACAAAATCGAAGACTTACAAGCAAAAACCGACAAACTGGTCGAAGAAGCAGCCAGAGAAGACAGGACTCCAGGTGAACATAGACAAGACGGAGGTTATGAAAATAACCAACCGACAACAACAACAACAGCAGCAACATCCAGCACCAATCACCATCAACGGGAGGGATTTGAAAGAGGTTACTTCTTTCACTTATCTAGGGAGCATTGTCTCAACTACAGGAGGAACGGACGAGGATGTCAAATCGAGAATCGGGAAGGCGAGAAACACATTCATTAACCTGAAACCAATCTGGAAATCTTCGTCACTCAACTCAGCATCAACAACAAAATTCGGATTTTCAATACAAATGTCAAGTCAGTTATTCTTTATACGGATCAGAAACTTGGCGGGTCACCAAGAATATTTTCAACAGGTTGCAGACCTTTATCAACAAATGTCTTCGCTCCATACTGAAGATTAGATGGCCAGAAAAAATCACCAAGAAGAAGCTATGGGAACGAACAAAGCAAGAACCAATCGCCCAACAAATATGCAGGAGGAAGTGGAGATGGATTGGACACTCGCTGAGGAGGCCGTTGAGTGACATCGCGCG